AACAATGCAATGTACTAGGGAACTTCGTAACAATATTATATAACTGCCTCAATTATATCAAGTCACGTTTATGCCAAGCAGTGTTTAGAAATTTTAGCAACACAATGCAAAGGAGGACATTTAACAGATGAATACATAATCGCAACCTGTCTACTTATAATTAAATAAAAATGTTAGTATTTAATTGAAAAGAATTTTTTTTTTACTAAATGTTCCATACTTGTTGACATAACCCTGTATATGCACGCAAAGCTGAAGATTTCTGGTTTACCGAAGAGATTTTCTTTTTCAACTGGTAACAAAATTTATACCTTGAAATGCCATTCTTAGTAGATTTCAAAGGATTTAGTCCATCTAGTACATACATGGTAAAAGATTAACAGGGTTTTCGAATTCTTAGAAGAAAGCAGTTATCAATGTTATTTCACTGACAACCGTCCATAGTAAAGTGCATATGAAGACACCTGCAGATTATTTTAAAATTAGTTTAATTTTGTAAATTAATGAAAGAATTCTGTATGCTGCCAGCATTCTAAAAAATTTATAGAAAAATTACCTACTTACTTATCCTCTACGTCAGTGGCGTACGCAAGGGAGGGGTTTAAACACCCCCCTTGAGCTCAGACAAAATGGAAAAAATAAAAATTTTAGTAGAAATTATGCGATCCATTATTTTTTAAGACTATTTATATTTATCTGCCTTATGCCTACTTTTTTTTTTCTCGCGGTATTTCTCAGAATACTGAAAAAACATTAACTATAATAGGGTTGTACTTTTGAAACAAAATTCACGTGATGCTGTTACGGACTGGTTCCTTTCTGTCCTACCAGTATAGTTTTCGAGACTGGCTGTCATTCGCGAGGTCTTTACGCGATTATTCTGGAATCCTAGACGTTCGGTCGTCTTTGAGACAATTCGAGAATTTTTGTGTTTCCCAGACCGTCGCCAATAGCCAAAGCCTCCTTTGCAATAGCCCATCGTGCAACTCTAGTGCGACGTAAATTAACTACAACTACAACAATCGCCGAGCCCGTCATCGCCACTATTTCGACTAGTGAAGAAATCAGTAACAATACGATTGGAGATACTGTGCTCATTGAAGTTATTCATTCCAGCTCGAAACTTTGAGATTGTAGCATACCGGATATTTCTGTACCAATCCATATATATATTTGCTGTTCTTGGATGTTTAGGATGTCAAGACGCAAGAATTTAACAATTTTTAATTATTTTGCGAAAAAACCGCGACCTGAAATTAGTGAGGTGACAGCATCTAGTACCAATGTAAGTTTTTCTGTTGTACAGAAATGTGATACTTCCGTTGAAGAAAACGTTTCTAACATAACAGAATCTGATGAACGTGAAAGTGTTACTTCCCACCCATATGACATTGGACTTTTTTCAGAATATATTACATTATGTTCTAAAACTTAAAAAATCAAATCAAAATTTAACTCAACAATGTTGTCTAAATAAAAAGTCAAAATTGTCTAGCTGTTTAAATTAGGGAAATAATAGTGCTTTATTACAGACTCGAATTTCTTTTAGTAGTTTCAGAAAATTATGAACACCCCCCTTGAAAAAATTCTGCGTACGCCACTGCTATACGTGCCTTTGGACACTTAAGGCCTCTAGCATATCCCTCCAACGCCTCCTGTCTCTAGCAATAGATCTTGCTTCCTCCCAGCCAGATATTCCACATTCTTTTAATTCGCCCCAAAACATGCGCTGGATGGTAAGTTTGGGTCTTCCTCTTGTTCATTTACCATCAGGGGCCCATGTAAGAGCAACAGATGTAATTTTTTCTCTGGGCATTCTAAGGATATGTCCGAGCCAGCTCCATCTTCGTTTTTTAATTTCATCTTCTATTGTTTTTATTTTAGCTTTCTTTGATAGATTTTGACTTAAAACTTTGTAAGGCCAGAAAATTTTCAAAATAAATCTTAAACATTTGTTTTGAAAGGTTTCTAATTTCTGTATTTCGATCTTAGTCTGTTTCCAGGTTTCTGCGCCATATAATAATACTGCTCTAACAATCGCTTTGTAAACAACTATTTTTGTCCTTATTTCAATATTTGACTCTCTCCAAAATTTATGTAATCCCTTAAAACATGTTCTTGCTTTGATTATTCTCTGTCTAATATCTTCACTACTTCCACCTTTTTTATCTACAATAGAACCTAAATGACTATGTCATCTATTTCGTGATTTTCGATTTTAATTTTGTCATTTTTCTTTTGATTTATTCTCATTACTTTAGTTTTCTTCTTGTTTATGAACAAACCTACACTATTTGAATATTTGTTGAATTTGTCTGTTTTAAGCTGAAGGTCTGAACATTTGGATGAAAAAAGTATAGAAAAATTATATATATTTTAATTAATAGCCAACTTTTGATTTAACAAAATAATTTTGATTTAACAATGGAATTTATGCAGCCTATTTCGTTTTTTACTGTATAGAATTTTGAAAAAGTTTTATTTTATTTATATTTAAAAAAAAAATGCACTCCTCCCGCCAAAAAAAAAAAAAAATATTTAACATTTTTGCAGTGTAGAAAGTAGGTGGAAATTGAGTCTTATGACTAAAAATGCTTTTTTTTAAAAATAAAAACAAATGGTTTATAAGCTATAAACAATAATTTACACTATGGAACATATGCTGGCGCACACTCACAGATATTATTTATATATATATATATATATGTATAATATATTTGCATCATCACAAATAAACTGATGTTCAATGAATGGTAATAAAATTATGGATAAATATTTTAATGTAATGCTTTCAAAATTATGAAAAAGTCTTTTGCAAGAAATTAACTTCCAATCAAAATATCTGCAACGTTATTATAACAAAACATAATGCATTTAAATAGAGAAGAGGGAAGAAAGAGAAGGAGTCAATAATATTTTAACACTCTTTTTGTACATAAAATTTATTTTTTAAATAAAAATTATTTACAGACTGAAAATTTCAGAAAGTCATTGAGAACAAAAATGACAAGAAATAAAAATGTATAAATAATTTAACAACAAGTAAATCCATAAGCTGAAGAGTCATTCTTACTAAAATTTACTTTCATAGAGTAAGATACCAGTAAGCTGGAATGATACAAGTTAGGACTACAGAATGATAAACATTTTGAAACTAGTTAGTAATTGTATTGCTTATTAAAACAAATAGTTCCAATGCACAGTTAAAAAATTAGATTCTGAAATAATTTCAAAAAATTATAAACTTGGCAGTGTAGTTTAAAATGAGAATAGAAATTTATTTTTTGTAAGAAAACAAAAGGTAATTTTTTTAAAAGTTCCTTGTTAAGTTCATGTAAGCTTTCAAATTAAGTGGTCATTAATCCCAAAAATACACTTTATTTTGGGCAGTCAGATCAGCATTTTTAAGGAAATAAATTTTTAGTTTGCATGAAACATAATAAATTTAGTTTTTTGGAAATTAAAACACTAGAAAGATTTATTTTTATACATGAATGGTGCACCTTTCTATAACTATACTATTCCACTAAACAAAAATCGATTTCATTTATTTATTTATTTAACTCATTTTGACATAATGTTACATTTTCCATTATAAATTTTTGTTAGAAGAAGAGACAAGCTGTTCCTTTAAACATGTTTTATGAATGATAATAGTTATTTATCTTTACTTTGAGTATCATACCATTAATATTACCATTGAGTATGTTATCATTTCAGTTTCAATGAAAAATATTTTAAAATTAACTTTGAAATTTTAAACAACATATTAGATAATGCTGAAAAATGCTGTTCATTTTATTGAAAACAGTTTAAAAGCATAATATTCCTTTTTAAGTTAAAATACTTAATTTTTTTTAAAAAATAAAAAAATATTATTCTTTCCAGTGCAAAGAATTCTTAAACTTAGTTTACAAGTTATGCAAAATTTGAAACGAATTTCAATGCATAAAAATTAAAATGGAATTAATAACATTTAGGAGGATCAGGAAACAACATTAAATGAATTAGAAAAATTAAACCAACAAAAAGGAAAAAAAAAATCTGGAAACATTACCAATTTGAATTAATTTACACTCTTTAACTATATTTTAAGAAATTTCACAACTCTTATGAAAAATTTAATGGGGAAGAAATTGTGATTTCAGTTCTACCTTATCTTAATATTAACATCACTATGGCATTTTGCTCTCATTATTTACTGCATTCTGTCACAACATAGAGAATATTCCAGAATTATAAAAAGTACACAAAATTAGGAAGAAAGGTAATATTTTTTTTCTAAATTAAAAATATCAAAATAAACAATCACTCATGCTTTAAAAATAGAAAATTTTTCAGATATGTTTTCTTTTTCTTTTTTGAAAATAGCAATAATAAAAAATAAATATATAAAATTAAATAATCATAAATTTGCTTTAAGAGGAGTAGGGGGGATGATAATATCATTAGTATAAATAAATACATAGTTAAACATTTTTAAAAACCTTTCTGAAAACTAAGTTTTAAACTTATGGAAGACAACTGTCAGACGCATATTTTTTTTTTTTTACTAGATAATTAACCAATTTGTCACAAACAACAAATATTCCTATAAATAAAAAATCAAATGGTGAAATATTTATATAAGCCAAAAAGGAAACAGTTAACAAAAACATAAATTTCTCGATTTAACTCAAGCATATTTAACAAGTTCTATTTATATAGACTGGCATATGAATTATAAGGAACAGAATAACCTTGAACACAGAAGTATATAATTTTTTTTTTCATATTGTTTCGTTCTCACACCACATATAAAACTACTGTAACTGAGATGATAAATTTTAATAATAAAAGAAAAACCTTTTCTAACAAAACATGCTTACATGTAATTTTTAAACTAATTAGACATTACGTACAGCAGACAAAAAGTAAAAAGATCCAATAAATAAAATATTACTTATATTAAAATTTTATAAGTATCTCTCAACAAATAATTTATAAATTACAGAAACTAAAAATTATGACTCATTGCATAGTACTCTGAATACTTCAATTGCTTAAAAACTAATTAAAATAGACAATTATCAGCATATATTTGAAGGAAATACATTCACTTCATAACATTTTAAAGCAGTTTAATGACAATTGCTGAACCACTTCATAATTTTAATTCATAAATTATCACTTTCGACAGGAATATGTGTTCCAATTAAAATTAAATTAAATTATTTACATACAGTCTCTCGACACAACATTAACAAATGATAAATTAGATACATAATTTAATTGCAAGGGGAGGAACACAGTTAAAAATCTCAAAATGGCAAAAATGTAAATAAAATATCAACATTATGTACATAATAATTGAAAGCTGTTTCTTTTTCATTTGTTTTGAAAAAGAGATATCTTCCAGTAACATTATCAACAAGATATTTTATACAATGATGAACAATGCAATTTATTCCACCCTTCATATAAACAGCCTTTTCATTGAGAAAAAAGGGTTTAAATTTTTGTCAACATCTATCTAAATGCACACCCTGTTGAAAAAGCCAACACATTTATTAATAACATAGTAGCAAGCCAGATAATGAGGTTAGTTCCAGAGTGTATTTACAATGAATAATTTGTTAGCAGTTTCCATGGTTAAAAACACTGACATGGAAGACAATTTCTTAGTCCGCTAAATGACCACTTCAGTCAAAACATGCGAAGAGAGAATCCTCCACTGTCAGGGCTGGTTTCAGACTCATTGATATGAATCTGCTCGAGAAGAGAAGTTCCTATAGCGATGTCAGGAATGATTTCATTAAGATGATCACTACAACAGCTTCTTGACATCTGCGAAGGAAACTTGAAAAAACAAGTTTGCAAATTACTTTTAATTTCATACAAAACAATAAAAACAATGAATCTATAAAGGAGAAAGCATTTAGAGAAAACAGGGAATAGTAAAAAGCATTTTAATATGTGAATTAATTTATAAGTAGTTTTGGCAATTTTTTTCATTGGAAACATTTTAAACATTAAATGAGAAAATCAAAAATTCCTCAGAAGCCATTTGCAAATGGCTCAATGTTTTAGGAGTTCCATGAAAAGTTTTCTTTTGTAAAACCTAAAAATTAAAAGCTTTTTACGCAACACAAATTTCTTTATCTTATATAATACTTAAAGAGAGTGGAAGTCTAACAGGTTGAATATATTCTATAGATTACTATAAAACATTCATGAGTAACGAAGACAAAGCAACTTTAAATTTTATCCAGCTAATTATTAATTTCATTGTAAACAGTTATTACAATTAAACCTAAAATTATTTCTTCTAAATTATACTAAAAATAATAAGAAAAAAACCTATCAAATTTCATGTGATCTAGAATTACCTGGCTGGAAGGCGGAAGAGGTTCATCTCTAGCCTCTCCGAGTTCTAAGCTGAGATGCCTAGAAGGTTTGTACATGCGCGGCAGTCCATAGACGTGACTAGAATGGTCCCCAGAGTGGCGCGAAGGATGGCTAGGAGGTATTGAAGCAGCAGAGGAATGATGCTCAGCTCCATATTCCTCCAGGAACTGGTAGGAAGTACGATGGAGCACTTCCATCACCTTATCCGGAAGGCCAAACTCTCGCACTACCCGCAGCTGCAAAAGTTTGGTGACATCACAGTGGTTTCTAACCACTGAATAAGCTCGTCGAGCACTCTGGCCCTGCCTCAATTCCTTTTCTCTTTTTTTCATTTGGCGCAAAGTTATTTCATCTGAAATCAAAAATATTTCTATCAGATCCCAGTTTTAAAATATGAATGAATAAATATAAAGACTGTAAAACATAATACAATATTTAATTAATTTACATGTTGAAAAAACACACACAATCAACTTATAAGGGACCTTGATTGAAGACGAAGTGAGAGCTGATTTGATGGATCAACTACATCACATTTCTTAAGACATTACTGATTTTGAATAGTTTTTATCAAGAATGAATTTCATAATCCTCTGTGATTTATTAGCATTGGCAATTTCATACAATAAATATTTATATTTTTATAAAATTATGCCTCAATTTAAGTGTATTTCAGTTTAATTAATCTGACTAAAAGACTAATATGAATCTTTCAAATTAGTTTTTAATCAACGTTTAATAGAAACTTTTTGATATAAATTGCAAATAACTCTATTTTTCTTAAAAATAAAAAAAAAAAAATTATATTCGCTTCATTTGATTAGAATTTCATCCTTAAGAAGCTGCAATTATTAGTACAATATATTTCAGGTTATTTAATCTCAGATAATAATATTTTCAGCAAATATACCATAAAGATTAATTAAGAGATATCTATCTCAAATAAATACTTACAAAGTCGTGTTGCTCAAAGATATTTAACCTGTTTTAAAAAGTCAGGCTCTTGTTCAACATTTGGTAAAATGGTGCCAATTAAAATCATATCTTAATCTGTGTAGTCATTCATAAAAATTAACTAATTAAGTAATGTTCCATTAAAGGGGGTTGTAAAAAAAATCACCAAATCGTGGTGAGCGAATTCAAGATGCAATCCTTCAACTCAATGGTCAGAATTAAGAATACCGGAGACAATGGCACTTAACCTTAACAAAAATCATTGTTGGGTATATCAAACAAATGTATACTGTCCAGTGGCAACTGTACCTTTAAAAAAAAAAAAAAAACATAAGCGTAGGGTGTAGCGGGAAAATGTATATTGGGGTTAGGGTATACCAGGCAGTGGTATTTAACCTTATAAAAACATTAGTATAGGGTAAACCAAGCTAAGGCACAAACATTGCTTAAATAATCTTATTTTATGACAGTCATTGAACAGTTGCTCAATTATGATTTTACTACTACCAACTTTCAACTCCATAGCCATGTAATTTGGAACCCAATCAAGAAGGCAAGGGAACTCCTGGACCAAGTATTGGGAAAAAATTTGCATTGGGGGAGAACTTTTTAGATAGAACTAACAAGCGTTTGCGTTACGTGGAGAGGAAAACTGCAAAAACTTCCCAAGGTTAGTCTGATAGCAAAAGGACTGTAACCCATGACACGTCTTACTACTGAGGATATTTTAGTCAGCACCACAGCTGATGCAAGCTGGGTGAGGAATTTGCATCGACCAACCATTGGTTGGACTTGAACCCTTATCACCCAATTGGGAGGCGAGCACTCAATCGCCTGAGCCAGCATGGGTTGTTTATGATTATTAATGAAAATAACATTCCTGCCAATATTGGACACTTTACTAGCAACATTTTTTGAACTGTGAGTACTGTTTTGATACATCATGTAAGTCAACAAGAGAAATTCAAAATTGGAAATAATATAAAACTTACATTTAGCAAAGTAAAAAATATGTATAAAAATATGTATTTAGATTAATTAAATACATTAATTAATCTAAAGAAGACTTTTTAAACCATTATTCATAATTACCTAATTTAAAAACACTCAACATCAAAATAATTTTCATAATTCTAAGTAATTAGCTTTATTTTACAGAATTTTTACATATTCATATTTTGAACATAAGTGGCTGATTTGGCTTTGCATAAGAAATTTTTTTAAAATCAAAGTTCCGTTCATAACAGTTACCAGAGAAATTACTTTATTAGAAGGTAATGAGCGAAATTCAGAGCAAACTTAATTAACTTTTGAGAAAATTCTGCATTGCTAGGTGGAATGCATAGTATACCCAATATGACATCTGCTAAATTTTTGAACTGTTTTCTTTTTTCAATTTTTTTACACAGTTCATTTACTAGTTGCCGAATGGACACCCACAATGAATGATTCTGAAAACAGAAATACATTCATGCTTCGACGATCGGTAACAATACAATGCAAACAAAGTTATTGGATTCACGTAGGTAAATAACAAAGCTCGTTATAGGGAGAGAAAAAAATATTATTGACTGAATAAACGAATCATAGCAGCATTCTCACTACATCCAGTTTGGCAAATGCGCGGCAGTGCAAAAACTGCAGTACTTGCCATAACACCATCTGTTGAGGAATAAGAAAAGTATTTTTGCCGTTAGTGGATATTTTATCGCTAAAATTTCTTTCTTCTTCCATTTTTTAAAAAATAAACAAATAAAATACAAAGAAATTTGAGAATATATGGGTAAACAGGAGATAGGCGTGAAACACAGGAGTCTTTGTTAAAAAACAGGAGACTTAGTAGGTATGAAATAATAAACAATTATTATTGATTAATATGTTTAGTAATTAATTTGGTGAAAAATTTTAACAATTGCTAGTAGCCCTCTATAACTCAAGTTAATTATTTGGATTATTAGCACCTAAATTTATTGGCTAATTTATTTTACCAGTTTTCTAAACAAATAATTCTTATTAAGTACAATATCAAATGTTTACATATGAATAGTGGCAATAATTAACAAAAAATAAATAAATAATCTTCTACTATAAACAAATGTTAAAGCTTCGTCTTAATTATATTGAAAATAAGTTGACTTATAATTTCTTAAGACACTAAACTAGAATATACAAATAAAAAGTTTAGCTTTCTAAAAAACATTAAAAAAAATAGAATTGAATTATAATTTTATCAACTAATGATTTGCACATTTCTGATCTTTTACATAAAATATTCAACTATACAATATTCAATTCAAATTATTTAGTCAAAGTATAAAGTTTAAATTTTTTTTTATTTTTAATTATTAATTTTTTTGTATTAAATATAATTTTCATATGCACTACTTTTCTTCCAGAGGGAACTTCTATTGAATCAATAATTTTTTAATCAATCTGACTTCACGGAATTTGTTATAATTAAAACGATCAGTATTATAAATAGAAAAGGTATTTAAAAAAAACTGAAGTCCAAGACAGTAAAAATCTGAAGGTTATAATTCAAATAATTTATATTATTATAAAAGGAAATTTAGATGCCTATAATAGTTGGCTAAATCAATATTTTTAAAAAAGAATTTAATAAAAAAATATATAAATAAATATAATTTTAAAAAAAAATAGCAACTGAAAAAAGTTCGCCACAGGAAAGTTACAAGAGCCCATGGCCTCTCAAATAAAAGTGACTAAATTTATTTTATCTTAAATATAAGGTTTGACCAATTTTTTAGAGTTTTAATGCCATGAGATTAAAATTCTTAATAGAACGATAATGATGCCTCAGGTTCAAATCTTGGTAGTTTCTACTTTTATCATAAACAGCTGCTTCCAGTCTACATTTTTAACACCAATCACAGCATAAAACAACCCCACTGTTGTAATGATAATGGACAATTTGATGATTTCTCTAGCCGATTTTCTCTATATTATACCAATGACACAGCTGATTTTAAATGCATGCTGATTTTTAAGTTTGCACTAACTTTTAGACAATGTGACAAAAATAGGTCTTTTAGTTTTGACAATGCAAAGTGAGATTAATCTTTTCTACAAATTCACTAGTATTATAAATGAAACTTGAGATGCAGTATTCGAAATGCTAAATAACAATTTTCTACCTAAAACAACATCCTTCATGAACTCCATACTTGAAAGTGGACATAAATGGCCTAAGGGAACGACACCTTCACTAAATGATAGAGGTTTCTCAACCATATATAAAGTATCAGGAATATGAGATATGTGCCAGACCTGCTGGCGAACAACATCTGTATCTTGGCCAAGCTGTTCTTCCAGCCATCCCTAAAAGATATATAAATATTATGACAGAAATATTAATAACAAATTCTTCTTAGTTACAAAAATATAAGCTCACAATTATAATATATTTTATGATGCTAAGGAAACTATTAGGCAAAATTAAAATAAATTAAAAAAACAACAAAAAAACGTCTTTTTTTTAAAAACAGTTGAAATAATTGGGGAAAAAGTAGAAATAATAATTCACTAATAATGATAAGCTCTAGTTTAAAAAAAAAAAAAAACATACCAAACAACCTTAGAAAAAAGAAATTAAGAAGATCAAGATTCAAAAATAAGAAAATTTTGTGTAAAATATAAATTTTCATACTTGTATTACTAATAATGTTGTTTGACAGTTTATATATATAGAGAGAGAGAGAATAGAAAAATATCTGTAAATTAGAAATTCCTTTTAGTGAATTTAAATTTTGATGAATAACAGCCAAAATGCAAAATTTCTTTTCATAAAATATGATGCAAAAAAAAAGAAAGGAGGAGTCCTGATTAATTTTTGTTCTAATGATCTTATCTCCACTTACTAGGTGATCACAATGGTTTAGGAAATGATCACCGAAATGCTAATTAGCTAATGCAGATATTTTAGGTTACAAAATCAGACAGAAAAACGTAATTTTTCTAAATAAACAACCCTTTTTTAAGAAAACAAATTTGGATTTCTGACCCTCAAAATATTGGGGAAAGTATGATCAGGAAAATATGGACTTTATTGTTTAGTCGGGAGAGAGGTCCACACCTTGGACCCCTTAATGTTAAACTTACATTTTGAGTATTTCACTATATTTCGAGATTTACTTAAGCGAATAAAAAAAATTTGCATAAAATTAGAAAAAATTATTTATCCAAAGTTAATGCCGTGCAAAAAATAATTTAATAATCATTTTTATTTTATTTAATTTGAAATGCAAGGTATACAAATTTATACTACATATTAATATTACAAAAGGTTTGCCTGCTTGTCATGATTTTTTTAATTAAGAATATTTTATTTAAAATTTCAATTGGGAACAAATTTTTCGAGTTGGAATTTTTAAGATTTAAAAATTTTGGCAAAACACTGGTATATTTAAAAGTGTATGATGTGCATGGGCCAAATATTAATTTTACTTTATGCTGATTTATTTTATATTAATTCTTATTCACTGACTTATATTTTGACTGCGAAAATCAAGATATGTCGTAATATGTTAATAAATATTTATTAAAATTCGCAATTTCTTAATAAAAATAGTAGGTTCAACTTTCATAATTTTACTTCATGAGTAGTATAATTTTCTTAGTTTAGAAAAAGGAAGATTTGCGAAATAGTAAATAGATTTTTTTTCCGAATGGTTTTTTAAATAGTTTTTTTTAGAGTATATTAATAAATAGTATTTTTTTTTAGATGTCAAAATTGAATAATTAGGGGATTAATTATAAAAAAGCTTGTCAAAACGAATAAATAATATTTATTACTAAAAATCCATTCGTTTATAGTTAAGAAAAAAGGATTAAGTGATTAGAAAATAGGATTAAAAATTTAGAATAGGATTTAAAATTGTTCGAGATTTCTTTAACTTGAATTTTCAGCCGAAATAACTTCAATATTTTCATACTTCAAAGTATCTGTTTTACAAAAATAATAAAACAGTATTTTTACTTAATTGAGATTTAAGTGTTTAAAATCTTTCTTATTTTCCTTTTCTATGAGATTTTCAATGTATTTAACTTAAAGAAAAATTTTATTTTCAGTAGAGCAATCTTCATAATTATGCTTCATATTATTATGTGAAAGTTTTATTTAAATATTTCAAAGAAAAAAAAAGTAAATTGAAGTAAAATTTTTACTATTTCTTTCGAATTTATGAAAAATTGCTAACTGTGAACCATCAACTTCGAGATAAACTTTGTAAAAGTAATTAAATATTAATTTTAACTATTTTATTTCTATCAATGTGTTTCACTTAACATTTTTTAATGCAAATACCTTTGGATAATTTCAACCAAATAAGATTAAATTTTATAATGCAATCCATTTAAGAGGTGCTTGCATTTAAAAATCTTTCATTCTTAGGTATTTCAGTTTTAAACTTTTCATATGTTTAGTCCCACTTCAACTCCGTATCCTTGTTATTTTGAACCTAATCCAGAAGACAAGGGAACTCCTGAACCAAGTGTTGTGAGAAATGTGTCTTCGTGGAGGACGTTTTGATGGAACTAACCTGTATCTGCATTACAAGGAGAAGTAAATCATGAAAGCTTCTGACGGTTAGTCTGACGGCAAGGGGACAGTAACCCTTGATCCGTCTAACACTGAGAATACTTTATTCCGCCGAGGATATTGCACAACAGTCGGTGCAAACCGGTAACGGAATTCGTATCAACCAGCCATTGCTGGGATTTGAAACCTGTTCATCTAATTTGAAGGCGAATGCTCTTTTCCCGAGTCATCATGGCTCTTATCATAAGATTGAAATATTCAGTTTAGTTAAGTTCAATTTAGTTTTCGTTGGTTTGCAGTTCAGTTAAGTTTGCATCCACTGTCATGTTAGTAAGAAAGTTTTTATTGTGGTTCCTAAGATGTTATGCAGACGACTTCTTTGTCCTATTTCTTTGTGAGAAAGCAGTAAAATATTTTTTAATTCTTTTTTTGGGTAAATTTTACTAGTTTTTTTTAAAAAAAAAAATTTCTTACAGACAAGTACAGTATGTAAAAAATACTATAGTCTGTAAAAAGTACTAGTATTTAAAGAGCATTTTTCTAATTTGAGGTTTAAGCATTAAAACCAGGTTTAAAAACTTTTCTAAAAACTTACCAAAACAAGTCACTCAATCATAACTATTATATGATACTAACTTAATTTGGAAAATTCAGTACACAACCCGTTATCCGGAAATCAGAAAACCAAAAAACCGGAACGAAATTCAATACATTTTTCCGCCATTTTTTTTAAAAAAAATGTTTTTTTCATCGTAAGATTATAGGATTTTTCTTTCTTTTTTGAAAGATGTTTACCTTACCATCATTTTGGAAATAATCATTAGTGTATTACTTCATCGTTTTTTCTTCTTTTTAAGATTATTTCCAAATAATTTTTTTTAGTTGGGTTTAACAATAAGAAAAACGGCTTTTTGTAGCGATTCAGAAATCCAGAATAGCGATGGTCCCGATCATTCCGGATAATCGGTTCCCTACTGTATTTTCAATTTTAACCATGTTTCCATAACCCTTAGATCAAGAGGTATTCACTCCACAGTTTTTGACAACCCATGTATAAAGTTATGTTAAAACCATGTTAAAAGCCTAATTTTATTAAAAGTTCAAATATTTAGCCACAATTTTTACTATTTATTACTTTAATTTAGCTATGTTTTGATATAAATAAAGATAATAGTTTTTAAAAATACTAAGATATATATATTAATATTTTAAAAAGATTAATATAAAATATTAATTAATATTTGAAGAGGTAATCATCTATAATAAACATTTGAATAAAATTTACTAGAAAAATCGCTAGCAGGAAGAGTAAAATAAGATTTAAAAATTAAAAATTTTTACTTATAAATGTACCATGCAATTAAAATCTCCAAACAAGTAATATTTTTACAAAATAAATTATATTTTAAAATAAAGAATTTCTTTTAAGAAAAATTTAAGTATAGAAAATAATGTTTTTAAAAATAAATAATATTCATCAAAATAAGAATTTCTATTTTTTATAAATAATAATAAAAATTTGATTTTCTTTAAAAATAAAAAAAGCAATTATTTAAAAAAATAATAATAATAATTCCCTTTAAACAATAATGAAAATATATAATGGTTTTAAAAAATCAATTTAGATTTTTGAAACAAGAATTTTCTTAAACTTAGAAATAATGTTATTAAAAATAAAAATTCCTCCAATGAGATTACTTGATTTTAAAAACAAGAAATTCCTATTAAATTTCTTTTAAAAAACGGACTTTTATTTTTAAAAAGTATTATCTTCAAAAACAAAATTGATTGTTGAAAACATGATACTGTTAGTTCCCCTTTCAGTTTCAAACAAAGTAAGTCCATGGTCTTGTAATCTTTTCCCCCCATGAAATTGCTGCAAATGTTACAAGCGCACCTCCCAAATATGAAGAAGACCATCATGCTCTTCCTTGCTATATATTTTGCTCTATAAGCTTCATCAGCTATAAATATTTGGTGTAAAAGCGGAGAAAATTGCGGCTAGCTAGTTTACTGGCTAAGCAGTAAAGAATCTTATGAGGCTTTGAGTCGATGGGGAGGGAAGATGAAAACCTGGACCCAAGGATGAAACAACTGCGACAACGAAATTCCACGCTCTTCTTCTGAAATCAGAAGAGTTCCAGGAATGAAAACAAATAAAAAGTAGAAGCAGCAAACACAATACAAGATAATATAACAAGTTCATACATACAGTCTAACTGGTTTATAATAAGAAATCTGGCAAAAAGGCAATTCAAACTTTGAACAGGAAGCTGCTTGAATCAAAATCAGTTAAAATTATAAAAAATAATTTACAGAAATAAAAGAAAAAAAAGTTTAAAAGTGGCTTTAAATTTTTTCTTTTTCTCTTAAGTTTCACTGAAAGAAAAATATTGAAGTTTATTACACTAAGTTTTTTTCCTGTATGTTTTCCAATTATCAAAGACGTGTGCTGAAAAAATGAATGTAACACCTAAATGAAGAGCAGACGGACATTATTCTCAAGATAATAGTGTGTCATTTGCAGCTACTTAACTTATATCATTGAATTGAGTGTTTAATTACAACTAGCACTAATATATTGAAAATAAAACAAAACTTTCTTTTCCCGAATTTGAAAAATAAAAAATAATAAAACCAACTAAATAGAATCAAATATGTATGCACTACATACATAAATGCGAATTTTAATGAATATCAACACATAAATAATGAAATATATTATTACAAAGTAATAACAATGCATATTATAAATTAAACAAAATTACCTTAGCTTCCTCAACATAAGGAGTAAAAAGACGAGGCTTAACATATAAGCCATGGCTGTTACGACCTCTTATCCAAGCTTTAGGCTTCAGATTCGAACTATGACCAACTAATAAATCATCACCTAGCATATAAGATGGAGGTGTACTGATCAATCCTCGTCGTACAGCTGATACAAGAACTTCACTGTCTGGAGGCAAAATATGACTGATTCGAACACAGCTAAGGAGGTCGGACAGCAAGTCTCGAAGCTCAACATCACTTAAATCTCGTCTTCTTAGACCTCTTCTGCTGACGCTATGGGCAGTGTGGCTTACTAAATTTGGTTCTGTAAGCATAGAATTACTTTCATAAGCAACAACCAAATACTATAACAAACTGCATAAATTAATATCAATATAAAAATCAGATTCATAAAATTAAGTAAAATAAAATTTAAGAATGAAACAGTATAGTGTTACTGAAGAAAGAAGCTGAAGTAAGCATTTAATTACTGCAAAAAGTCAGGGGTATGAAAAATCTACCAATAGTCAGTGTTTTTGACAATTATCGGTTTTAATCCTCATGTCATAAAACTCAAAATTTTAGTGTATGGATAATTATCAGCTACTACGAGTAGAAATACGAAATATTTATAAATAACACACATATAAAATTACAAGTCATCAATCATGTCCTAGAATTATTTTGACATTAAACTCTCTCGTTTTGTTTTAACAATTACACTGTCAAAAACCCAAATTCTGGTGAAGAAAATATTAAATAATTATAAATATAATATAGATAGTTTTGGAGCCCTTTTTACGCCAAGTTTTTTCAGTTTTGTATGGCAAAGACAAATTCGAAACTATTTTTTGGATTGATGCTGAGCTGCATGGACTCGAAAGTATACTAAAACTACTATAACATAATAAAATAACACACAATTAGGAAATTTATTCTAACAATTATACTAAATATTGATAGTAACTCGATTAAACCCTTGAACTGATTGATTGAAAAAATTAATACCTAATTTAGACATTTATATTTTTTGTAAATTACAATTAGTTTACTTATCAGGGAATATATTATAGTCAGGAATTATTGGAAATTTATTATGATCATATAAGCAGGGGCTATATATATANTATATATATATATATAATCTGATCCTCTCAGTAAATCGAGAGTTTACTATTGTATATGTTAAAATTTTCCGTAACAATCACTTAAAATATCTCACCTCTTTCTTCAACACGCTTGAACAACTGATGTTCTCCCCACTTTAAAACTGCCTGAAGAACTTCAAGTTCACCAGCCTAAGAGTAAAATCTTAATTAGATAGAATAAAGACACATATTAATCAAAGTAAGCAAAATTCTTTTATCTAAATGTATCTTTAAGAATGTAAGAATATATTTTATCACTTGCTAGATATTTAATGGTGATATTCATCCTTTCAGGAACAGAATAAAATAAAATACTGAAAAATCACCAATATATCCTCTTGAACTTATTCTTTAGGCATACATTAAAAAATAGACAATAAGTATTTGAATTAGTTACTCCGGGCAACCATTTCTAACAGTTTATTTCAATTATTCTTTTGAGATTTTCCAAAATCATATAAAGATAAGAAACATCTGCATCATTTTGTGCAACTTCCATTAACTTAGCTATTATCATATTAAGTTTTATCATTTAGAAAATGGAATCCTAGTTTACATGCAATATTTTTAAGCCATACACTTTAATAATTCAATTGAGTTTTATTTTTGTAACAAGAAAATTATAAAAGTAAAATCATAATAATAAAGGCTTTCAGTATTAAAAATTTTGGTACTGTTCCATTTCGCAGGCACAAGCAACCAAAAAAGCTGCAAATACAAAGTCACCAGTTGCAAGCAAATTCAACTTTTCTTATTTTATTATGCCAATTTAAAAAATCTAAACATATAACTGAATTTTGTTGTTTGAAAACTAAATAATATCATAATCTAGCATCCATTTTTAAGATAACCTAGTGTCTTGTATTAGTGCACCTCGTCTAGGGTATCTTGAAGTAGTAAAGCATAAATCTAGAGTCCATTTTTAAATTTCTTTTGGCTCTCACTAAATATTTGTACACTTGAACTTATGGATTCGTAAACCTGAACTTGTTTTTATTCGAAGTCTAACATTTTATCTGATAGCATTTATGCAATACAGTTGCACATTAATAAAAAGATTATTTAAAGATTATCCAATAAGTTTCAGTAGGGTCACCTGGGGTAATTCCTGTTAAAAAAATGCAAACATCTATTTTGTGAAAAAATTATTCAAAATAGAATTTTAATATTTACTGGAAATTTGAGGCTATAAGAGATGAGTCCTATGCCACCTTCTTTTGTTTGAAAATCTAATTAGAATTTAAAAGATTTTAAATATTTAGTGATCAGGAATTATCCCTGGTCTTGATCATTTCTGGGATAATTTCCTGATCACTTCTGGGGTAATTACTGATCACCAGTTTTTATTGTAAAGGGGCTGTTTAAAAGTAATTATATACTGGTAATTAACATTTAAGACATCAAGATCAAACAAATAAACAAAAAAGATATGTTTAAGCAGCTAATAAGACGATTTATTTAAAAGCAAGAAGAAAGATTAGCACTTTAAATTTTAAAAAATCTTTGCATTGTGCAATACATTTTAGGCAATCAGTCAACTCATTCTCATGTTCTGCTGAAATATAAGAGAGTTTCCACATGGGTTACTTTTGCTGGATTTTTTAACTTCATTAAGGGAAAGTGTAAAGTTAAGTAAGGTATGTCAACAGAGCTCTGGTAGCAGCTCTCACACTGAAATTTTCATTTTCAATCATTAAAAAAAATTCACTAATTTTGTTTTCTAGAAGCTTAGTATCCTTTTTAGGCTCATAATTTCTCACCATATTTATACTAGGCTAATTTATAAACTTAAAAATTATTCTAACAATTATACTAGGCTAATTTATACACTTAAAAATTATTCTAACAATGTACACACATAAAATTAATATAGAAGCAAGGTAAGACAAACCAGAAATGGTGCAAATCAGAATACAGTTTTGTATACAGTTCAAAACAAATTTTGTGATGACAGTTAAAGTATATTTTATAGTTGTTCCACTTAATAAATATGAACTGTTATTTAAGAAAAGACAATTAACTATTTATTAGCAATTTTATATTACTATTTATAAGAAGAAATGACAATGATCAGGAATTACCCCTGTGATCAATAATTATCCCATCTGTAGGGGCAACATTTGATACACTTTCCTATAATCAATTATAATGTTTACAGTAGATGTGAAACAATTAAACAAAAGAATACACTACTTTTATATCAAAGAAAAAGAAAGTAATTCAAAATATTTATTATTAAGAGAAGGAGGGGGATCTTTGCAGAAATGTGCACATTTTGAAACCCCTTTTTGAAATGGAAAATACAGAAAGCAGTTTAAAAGATACTTATTTTGTTAGATTAAACAAAAAACTATTATTAAGTAAATATAGTTATACTTTGGTAAAGTGTACAAGCCTTCTTGTCCATGTCTCAAATTAAAATTTTTTTTTTTTTTAAATAAAACTTAAGAGATCATTATTTACCCCAGAAACAGAGTGATCGTGAATAACCCTGGGTCATCCTATAAGATATTTTTTATAATTGTCAGTTTCCATAAAAATGTTGGTCTAGACATTCTACTTTAATTAATTTGAACTGTTAATAAAAATTAGCAAAAATTGCAGAACTTTATTAATAAAAATGAAATTTGGAGAAAATATTTCTAATGTATATTTCTATTGTTATGATTCATGACTCAAATGAAAGTTATTTTGTTGGTCTGCGATCACTGAAATTTGACTTGGACCACAATAAAACTTATACCTGGTATTTTTTATTTTCAGTTTTATGTTTCAGTTCATTATTGTAACACTGCATGTTTCATCATAATTGTATTGTAATTTTTCATTTGAATTCACTTCATTAACTTTTTATAAACAAAAAAACTTAAAGGAGACAATAAACAGCTTAATAAAACTGTGTACTGACTAGCAATACATTTTAGTCACTGATCTGCAGACCAGTGACAAATTTCCCTTGAGTAGTGATTAAGATTAAAGCAGATTATAGGCAAATGCAGTCATTAAAATACACCCTAATTAAAAAAAATTTACGATTACTATACAAAATTTACGTTATCGTTAGAAGGAGTAAATATTAACTTATCAACAGGAGTAAATATTACATTTATAATTCAACTCACAAGATATATTAAATGAACAATGTCACAAATTCGTTCAAATAAACTTAAAATTTATAATGCATTCGTGATAATAAAAATCTTTCATAGTAATAAAAATAATGATAAAAATATTTGAAACCACTAAGAAAAAAGACACAAAAGATGTTCTTAATTTACACACATAATCCCTCAATAATTTTAAATTTGTAATTACTGAATGCAAGTACTAGTTTTGATTCCTTAATTTATATAGAAAAGGCGAAAAAATAATATAATTTAATTAGTTTAGAAAAAAAACTTTTAATAATATAAGTTTGCAATAAAAATGGGAGAATCTATGCAAGAAACATGACTAAATTATCATAATTACCTGAAGAAAGTCTGACTTTATTACATCAATTAAATGAGATTTTTCTAACTGGAACAAAATAGGTGAAGCAGAAACAGTCATAAACTCTTCCCGAATAAAATTAATAGCTTGCCGATAAACCCAATGTGAGCCATGGGGCTGACTACTCCATCTTAAAACAGGTAGTAAAGTTTCCAAGTTTAGTGATTCTACTATAAAGTCTTCACAACCTGTAAAAGTACATATTAGCTCAATTTAAATTCTACATTGAGAATTAGAAACACCATTTAAAATTCATTAAAATCAAGGTTGGCAAGTTTCTGCCGAGGTGGTTAAAACCACCGGTAGAAACCGGTTAAAACTGGCATGGCAGAAACCCTTCTCTGCCACAAATGTGGCAGAAATTCAGAAAATGACATAAAAGTAAGTAGTGAGCTTGACATACAATGGATAATTCATAGAAATGAATCAGTTAATTGATTATGAATCAGTGAATCTAACCAATTATATTGCCTCTTACATACAGCAAAGATTAAAACTATTATCGTTATAATAATTGGACTGTTGCCATGCTATTTCCCTTGAAAAAAACTATTTGAAAATAGCTCTATTCAGTTATGTTAAGAGTTAAATGATAATAATTACTGAATTTCAGAGTTTAATATAATAAACTAAAATCTAATATTTATATTTATTATTACATTACTTTATTTTATATAAATATTTGATATACTGCAATCTTTATATTTAATAATATATATTTAATAATATATATTTAATAATACATATTTAGAAACAATGAGTTAAAAAGTTTGTTACAGTTACATGGAGTTAAATTTTTCAGTTACTTAAACAAAATGTCATTAAGCAATTACTAGAACTAATATAGACGTTTTTTTTAGTTTCTGCCAGTTTTTGCCGGTTATAACCAGTCGCTGCCACTGGCATGGCAAAAACCAGTTTCTGCCGGCAAAAAGCCAACCCTGATTAAAATAGTTGAATTAGTCTAGAATAAGAATAACTTACTATGAACAAGGGCATCCATTTCAATGAAGCGTGCAACTTCAAAAAGTTGCATAGCTTCTTCAACTGATGACTGAGGAACATGTACATCCGCCATGCTGCCTCTCTTTGAACTATCAGGTAGCACTGCCCCAAATTCCAAAGCATCTTGATAAACAGCTCGTAGTAGAATACAAGCATACCTTCGAGGTATTATGCTATCGTCTAACAGTATGCGAGTCCTATGGGTCTCATGCATGTCCGCAGACCTTCTTTGCTGCCGATGAATAACATTGCGGAAAAAAGGTGACCGAGCAGATAAAATAGCTCGATGACACCAAAACTCATTTGTCCCATGGCAAATTTTACACGGCTTTCCTTCCGCGTCCATTAATATATGATCACAGATGTATGCTGTCTGGCCACGCACAACAGAGTGGCCAGTATCACTTGGAGAAGTAAAGCTTAAAGAAATATCACTGTAAATACCAGTTTCAAGTAAATATTTTAAATCTTGTTCAAGTGGATTTGGAATTCCAAATTGTTCACTTAACTGAAACAAGATATCAAAATTACCACTGTAACTATCTGCTACAGATAATTCTCCAGTATATAAATATCTCAAAAGTTCATTAAACATAGATATACTAACACCAGCAATGTCTATATCAACAGCCACTTCTGTACAGATTGATGATAAACTATTGAGCATTTCACGAAAAAAGGGACATCTTGCTGCCAATATTGCACGATGAACAGCAAACACTGTTCCTTGATAGATGAGATTAATATCAGAACAGTATTTGTTCTCAAACAGTAGCCCCAAATCCTGTTTACACGAACTAGAAACAGGACGAGCCATTTCTGCTTGTAAAGTAATTTCCTTCAACGCAGCGGTTGCTTCATACTCTTCAACTAAAGCTACAACATCTCTTGGGCTCCAGTCTGCTATAAATTCACGGAATACTTGAGCATGGTCGAACCCCTTGCTCGTTCTCCGCCGACGAGCGAAACGTTTACGGAGAGTGGACAATGATCCGACTTTTCTCTTCTTTTCCTTTCCATATTGATCAACATTTCCAGATGAAAAACTTGTGCACACACTTTGAGCCTGAAGAGATGATGCCATAGGCTCAGGCTGAGGATTACTACAAGAAGCTGGAGAAGAAGCACTTACTCCCATTTTAATAGGTTTCAAGATGTACATATATTCCAAAAACAAACCATGTTAAATACCTAGAGAAAAAAGTCATTTTTTTAAAAAATATTTAATACAATTTTTACACTAAGAAGAAATTAATAGCCAATAAAAGTACATAACTGACAGTTGTTTTAAACTTAAGTTTAAATAAAATAATACAAAATATCAACGCAAAAATTCTTCTTTTTTTTTAATACAGTTGGAAACAAAATTTAACTCTACAGCTTTTGAATATTTTCAAATTTTTTGAACAGCTATCTTTAATTCAGATTGAAACTGTATCTGCATTGCATAAAAATTGTATAACACAACATGAATGTAGAAAGTATGCGCTTAACGAAAATTAATGTAATTTCTAGTTTTAAGTAAATAAATAAAATAAAAAATTACAGATGGCATTAATTGACTTTTTCCTTCTAACAAGTTAATAAAACATTTCAGTAAAGTATATTAACACATTTTTTAGTAAAGTGGAAGTTCGCACACTACTTTTTAATTCTTAAAAATCAAACTGTTTTTGACAATATAGTATATAATATAGTTGTCCATGTCTGCATAAAGCAAACTTTAATATCACAAATACAGCAGTAACATTCTCTAAAATAGGAAGGAGCTTTAAAAATTTCATTAGGTAGAATTGTGTGAAAAACAAACAAACTAGTTTTTGCAAACTGACTAAAAAATTTAAATTTTAGTTTCATATTAATTTTAATTTATTTTTGAAGACAAAAGATTCCGACGATGAGCGAAACACATCATCCATTTGATTTATGCTTATGACCTTAGATGATTTGGTAGAGAATACATTCTTTCATAATTTTGTGTAAGAACAGATTTCTACTTGGGTCTATAATAATTTTCAGCACATTTGAAATGACATTTTCACAGTAACATTTGAATTCTGAAAAAATATTGCAAAAACTTTCATTCAAATGGATTTTTCCGAATGCAAGTAAAGAGCCAAGGGAAAATTCAATTCATTTTTTTTAATACTTTATATACGTAAAAAGTAATTATTGAATATGGAATTTTTTACCCGAAAAAACATAATGGGCATGAATACCCTACCAATTCTTAGTTTTAAAAAACTATTTCCAGAATCACATATCATGTTAATATTATAAATATATTTTTTAATCTTAAAGTATACTTAATATTAAAATGAAATTACCCTAATATGGCTTTTAAAAAGCTGTTTGGTGTGGTTTATTGGTAAATTAAGTTATTCAATATGTTAATCTACAAGGAAATTTTTATCAACATCAAAACTGCAGTTAATTTAAATGTCTGCTTATATGAGGCAACACAAATTCTTGTCGTTTTAATTATTAGTAATAATGACACGTTTCAATTTCATTTTCAATAATTTAGAATCATGCATATATACATGTTTTATTATAAAACAATTTTTAACACAGTTATTTAGTTGCAGAAGTACTTTTAATACTTAGTTTTAATGATATTCCAATAATAATTATATTAAAAAATTTAAATTAAAGTTTTGGAGTATCTTTAAGAAATAATTTAAAACTATTTAAATAAATATCAACTTGGGTATAAAAACAGGTATTTGACATAGCAAAAGTTAAAATCCAGTTTTAAAATTGATCAAAACTCAATTGAAACTATGAAAAACCAAGGATGACAGAAATAAAATTATTATCAAGATGATCCAAACATTTTTTGGACAAGGGTTTTTCCTGGATCCCTTAAGATTCTTCCTTGCTTTCTTGAATGACATGACAAAAAAATTTGCTTTAGTTTTCTTAATGTTTTTTCTTAAACCTTTAGTGTAAGAGTATAATTCAACAGCATTATACTTTTAAAAGATTAAGGGATAAAAAAAAGGTATGAGAGAAATGCTTTACTTTCTTAAATTGAGAGACTGCTTAACAACTTTGAAGACTGTTAGAATGACGTGGAAAAAATCTTCGGTTGTATATTATGTAAAAATTAATATATTTTTCACAAAAAGACTAACATGTTGCAGAATTATTTTGGTATAATTTTACCAGAATTGTTTCGGTATGACTTTACCGGAATTAGATTTTGACAGTGAGACACTCTTGAATTTTACTTTTTAAAAGATATAACAAAATGAGTCAGTCCATTAATATTTGAGAAATTTAAATGACAGTATCTAAAATAACATTTCACACTTCTCCTATTCGTTTACACCTCGTTTTCTAAGAAAAGAGGAAATCCCTTTCAAGCAACCTTTACTATTTTTTTGCATAATCTATCAATTTTAAGAGGGATCTTAAGATTGATTAATAAAATAATTATAAGATTAAAAAATGCCATCAAACAAGATGCCAACAAATTACCCATCAAAATTGGAAGCGCGAAAACTAAAACACAGATTTGCCAAAAGCAGCACAATAAAGATAGAGATACAAATTAAAAGGATTTTTAATTTGTCATAGTATTTGGAAAACAATGACAATAGTTATTGATTTTTATTTAAAGAAAGTATAAAGATTTTTATTAATATAATTGAAATTCATTTTAGATAATTTATTTTTAACACACTAAAAAAATAACACATAAGGCAAAGGAAAAAAAAAAAAAAAAAAAGGTTATTAAAATTTTAAAATAAAATTCAATGTTTTTTTGAGAAAAATGAACCAACTCTGAAAAACTATCAATTCCTAAAACGACATGAAAAGTCAACCAAAATCAACTCTCTTAAAAGAAGTCAGGAAAAAAAAAAAACACACACACACACAAATTAGTAAAATTGTAACTTCTAATTGCAACAATTTATTGTGAACTGTAAACATCTCCAAAGATGTCCAAGCTGTCTTTTGAATTTAGTTTGCCTGGTTTAAACTATCCTTAGGCCTTTAGAAATAAAAGATTTTAAAATTGCCACTTTGCTTTAAACAAATAATACTTTCAATGTTATTTTTTATTAGCGTCCAGTATTATTATTAAGGACACCATGACGGTTGCAAAAGAGAAAAAAATATTTGAGATTCCAACTCTTTTATTCAAAAAAATTAGTTACAAATAAAAATGAAAAATAGTTAGGTACTTGTAATCACAATGAGACATAAAATTTACACACACACAAAAAATTATTTAAAATTTTTTTTAACCCCCTGAGTTGTTGAATAGATGAACAAAAAATTAATACCTATGTTTAGAAAAATTTCCTTATTTTCATCTAGCATAATCTTATTTCTCTGCAGAAAAACTGATGTTCATAACATTACATACAAAAAATTATAATTATTATAAAGCATAATTTTAAAAAAAAACAGTATTAAATGGTACAAAATTTTACTAATTGTTTATAGAGCGATTACTTACCACAAAGTAACTCTTTAAAAGATCTTAACACCTGTGTAGTCTCAATTTTACTCCATCATCATTACAGAAAAACTGATGAAATCAAATGTTGTTTATACTAATAGATAAAAAAAGAAGCATACAATAAGTAAAATCAAATAAATTTATATTCCCAAAACAAAAAATAAGTAAAATTATGTAACTTAAATAGCAAGATACTGTTGATGCACAAAATTTTCAACACTACAATACAACTGAAATATAAACGCATAAATAATGAAAATATTTCACAGCTAAAAAACATTAGGAGCATTCTTGAAAAATGTGCTATAAGATATTAAGATCGATTCTTTACGCTTGTTTACTATACACGATTAATAAAACTTTCTTAAAAATAGCACAAACATCAAAAATTATTATCCTTTTGCACAATGTAAACAATAATAATAAAGAACTATAAGTTAAACAATTATTTCTTGATTTTGAAAGGTCAAATAGGTGTTAGTGTTCGCAAATAATCAACAGTCTGGAGCTACCAAAATCATCAAACATATTTAATTTATAAGTTGAAATTTTATATTATTTGACTACATTAATAGAAATGCATTTATAAATAAAATGCAAAATTAAGAAGTAGTTCGTTACAGATTCATGAGAAAATATAATTTTGCTCTACTTATATTTACTCTGCTAATTACCTATTCAGAAGCAAAGTTCAAATAAATAGATTTTAGGCCTTAATTTTGGTCTGGTATAAATATATTTTCAAAAAATATTATCTTAAAACTTATTTTGTAAGTGTAACTCGGGTGACCCGATTAAAATATCGACCCCTGAAAAAGGGAAAACACAATACCAAAACATTCGCCATGATTATCACTTAGAGTAAGTGGTAGTTGAAGTTCTTTTACTTGCTCAGTTGTTACATCAAGATTCAAGGCTGTTACAATGTATCTTTTTGGTACAATGTGTACAAAATAAAAGAAAAAAAGAAGGAAGGAAATTCTAAATACTGAAAGAATATCCTGCTAAATAAAAAAGCTTATTAAAATATCCAATAAAAGGAATTGAAATTTACGGTAGGTCATCACAATTTGTTACGTTCACTTCCTCAATTTAGACATGGACAAGTAGGGGAAGGAGATTTTCTCCAGATTCTTGCACACATATCCCTGCTCAGTGGCACCATCCACAGAACTTTCAATTTCACTGATTTTAAGAGCACGTATATCACAAGATGTACTCTGTAGGACTTGACGGAATTGAGTCCCGCTGTGGACTGATAGTAGAAACGCGGTACCCAGTAGAACACCGTAGTCAAGCATCACTGGCAGCTGTCAGTAAGCGGGTGGGTGAGCACTTTGGTCAGCTTGAGTAGGGACTGAGAGTGCATGGTATCGGTCATTGTTAAACTGTTCTACCGTAAAGTGCCCGTCTTCGTGAACAGGTCATCGGGTTACCAAAGAGGAGGAGCCATCATCTTTAGCAGAGGTGCAAAATTGCAATGGTATATCTTCGGATCATCCTCAGGGATGTTTCCCAGACTGTCTCCAGTAGGTAATTGTGCAGCTCTAGTGCGACGTAAATAAAATACCTACCTACTTTAGCAAAGTCGAGGAGTCCGATTTGAGCCGGAGTCCGATTCTCTAATCAAAATTGTAATCCTTTGTCGCAATCTTTGTAAAGTTTTGTAACGTAATAGTAATAATGTTATTTAATGAAAGAAATGTAAGCAAACTTATTCTTTTTTGTTTTAATTATGAAATACTGTACGAATTGAACAAAATTTATAAAATATCGGTTACAGAAGCAGTAGTTGTTACTTCTACCTGTTCCATCCGAATATCTCTGATGGGCAACGGACGAAAGCAGATAAATGTAGAGTTCTCATTTGTTCTTGTTTCCATGGAAACCGAGAGGACTTACTGCCAAAGTCCTTTCTTACAAGTGTTACAAAACAAGCACGTGTATTGACGATTTATAATAAGTTGTTATGAAAGAATTACGAAATAACCTGTATGTTCTCAATGACAATTATGATTCGAAAAGTTTACTACTGAATGTGTCTCTCTTTTATTTTCTCCCTGTCTAGAAATATCACTAGACAAGACTGTTATCTACAATATCCGGGGAAAATAAATAAACATTTTTAAAGAAATATTCGTTATTCACTATTTCCCTTTTCCGAATGACACACCCTCATTAATGTTTATTTCTTTAATTGATATTACACTTACATGCTAATTAGGTACATCAATTTTACTTCAATATCAATGTTTCGTCGTCACACTTTCCTTATTGATACATCTGCCTCGAAAGCTTTGTAATTATTTTCACTGAAGTGTGAAACAGTTTGCCTGGAAGAGAGGTGTTAATTTTTAATTTTATAAAGAAAATTATTTTTTATAAATTAAAGAGAAATTTGTTTAATTTATTTAAAATATTTTAATATTTGAGTATATTTTTTATAGTACTAAAATTTATTTATTTATTCAAGAGCACACATCCTTCCATATCTGAATAAATGTTTCCAGTATTATTATAAATTATTTTCATTACTTCTGATGGAGTAAAGAATTTATAAGACACTTTTTTTAATCCAAGATATTGAAACTTTCATTGTCAAGATATATAAATTTAACTGTAATTTTCTTGTTCTGTATTAATCATTATATTCATATAATCTTATTATGTTTGTACATATTGAATCTATTTGAAATAAGTAACCTTAATAAGTATAATATATAAAAGTAATTAATTTACACTTTTTATCAAGTATATTAAAAATAAGATACATGTTTCAAAAAATTTCTGCTTCATTATTTATATATTATATTTTGTATTTACTTAATTTACATTGTGACATTATACATAGTCTTTATGTAAAAGAATTTTAATATTTTTATAAATCATAAAGTGTAAAACGGCAACTCAATGTTGTAAGTATTACTTACTGTATTACATTTAGACAAAAAAAAAAAAAAAAGGGATATGATATATAAATATGCATGTATTTAAAAAAAAAAAAAAAATCTGTAATGCCTCTAAAAATAGAATAAGAGTATAAATTCTACACATCATGTTAAATAAATATTATACTAATAAAGAGAAATTAAATTAACTATTGCCTTTTTTATTTCTACTAAAAATATTGTCTTTTGAAGTCTAATTTAAATTAAATAAAATACCTGGTATTCATTTCAAGCTTCAATTTTTTTTTTGGTTAATTTTTATCCAACTCTGAAAATCAATGTTTTTTTAAATATTAATCTATAAATAATGTTATGCTTTAAATTTATATTTAACTTTTACATGACCATTTGAGTTATGTTGTTTTCTTATGTAGATTTGGATAATTGAAGTTCTAATATAGATTTGCAAATTGTCTATTAAACATGGAAAAATTTGCAATGTTTATTATATGAAAAGGAATTTTTAATAGTTTGCAAAATTTTTTTTTTTAATTTCTGTAACTTTTTATTATTGAACCTTTTAAACCTTAATTTTGTTTACCTTTGAAGCAAAATTGTTACATGTATATAGCCATTGTCAGTCAATAGTGGCTTTTATGTTTATTGGCATAATTAAATTTATCATATGGTTAGAAAATTTATAAATCTTCATTTCATTTAATTCAGATTGATTAAAAAAACAAAACAATATGTTGTAGGAAAACTGACTTTAAATCCTGTGCTAGAGTGAAGTTTAAAGTGATATTTGAGTCAACTGACTTAAAAAATACATTAATTTAAATAAATTTGTGAAGCCTTTAATTATTTTTTTAGTTGAATAAAATTATTTATTCGGCATCAAAGAATAATTCAGTTTTTATTGTTGACTTTATATAAGGTATGGAAAACTGCATACATACCTATTCATTTCATAAATTTATTGTTCTGACTAGTATATTAATATTTGAGAATACAATAAAACACTTCAAAATAATACTTTTATGATCAACAAAACTATATTTTACAGTCTTTAGTAAATACGACCGCTTTCATTTTGAGAAGACTGTGTATATAAAGAAAAAAATTTAGAAAAATTCAGAAAATATGATTTGTAAGAGTTAAATGGATACTGATTTACAGCCTCTTTGTCTCTCTTTTTTTTTTTTTTTTTTTTTTTTTTTTTTTTGTTGAATGTATTGTCTTTTGTTATATTTAAAAAAATTGATTTTTTTAAAAACTTTTGCATTTTTTAATTTCATTATAAACTTTATTCATATTATTGCAATTGTTTTACCAATTTTATTTAAGTTATTAAATTTTAAAACCTGTCAGACAGAAATTGATGGCATATAGTTTCTGCCATTTTCAACTATCACACATAAAAATATGTGGAATTTTGTAAAAGCAGATGTACTGTGCATGTGTTTTTTTTTTTTTTTTTCATTGTAGGTACAATCTTAAAATTCACTCTAAAGAATTTTTTTTTTTTAGAATCTTTGTTATGTTCTTTAATGATAATTTGTATAATTAGCTAATTACTCTGTTTAATATTTATGTGAATAAAAATAATAAGATTTTTGTTTTTATTATGGTTGTTATTTGGATTTTAAGCAAATTTTACTAGCTTGCTTTATTAACTCTCATTTTTTGTATTATAACTTATTAAAATTCAGGAAATGGCAGTATTATCTTTTGTTAAGATTTTCTTTTTTTGTACTTTTACTCCCTTATAATTTCAATTGTATTTTATTTTTAAAATAAAAAAAAATCAAATAATTATTTTGTATTTTACTTTTTAGATTACTCTTAAAAGCTATTCTATAAAACTTTAAAATGAAGCAGTTTTTGATTAGGACTTCCATAGGGAAGTCTTATCTGTGGCGTTCTCTGGTCTATCAACAGGCTAGACAAGGTCATGCTACCTCGCAAGAAGTCCATAAGCCAATCAAAAAAATTTTGGTTGCTAACCGAGGTAAAACTTAAATATTATCTCATAGGTATTGCTTTTAAATTATGTAAATTGATCTTTGTTTCTTTTAATAGGAGAAATAGCTATTCGAGTTTTTCGAGCATGCACTGAACTTGGCATACGCTCTGTTGCTATTTATTCAGAACAAGATAAAATGCATATGCATCGCCAAAAGGCTGATGAGTCTTACCTTATTGGAAAAGGATTACCTCCTGTACAAGCATATCTTAACATTCCAGAAATTATAAAAATTGCTCAGGTATTATAATTTTTTTTAATTATCAGATTTTTATAACAATTTTATTTCAAAATATAATCAAATTTTGAAATATAAAACTTTGTGACAAATTATTTTATTCAAATATTAAAAATTACATATAGTTGTAAAATTTGAAGAGGATACTTTCTTGACTGAGTGTTTGCAATATTTACCATATCTCTTCTATATGGGGTGAAAACCTCCTTTCTCTTGACAAAAAGTCAGTCTCCAGATCATAATGTACACAAATGTGCATTTCCTTCTTTAGTAAAATTTTTTTTTTAAAAGGACACTGAAGTTATGAGGAGCTGGTAAAGTGAATGCTTAGTTGATGGTGATTGATTTTTTCTATAATTATCTTTGCTCTAAGAATTCATCACCTCAATCATCTATATTATGCTTGAATTTCTTTTAACAAAATTAACAATATCAGTGATTCCGTTTACGTGCTATAGCACGTCAAATACGCCAAAAGTTGTTGATGGATTTGTTGGATGGATGGCCAAAAGTTGTTGATGGAACACCACCGATTAACTTCGGTCTGGGTAAAGGTAAAAATGAAAAAAATATATTATTTTTCTCTGTATTAACATCAAAAAGGTAAGACAATTTCATGAGCATCAAATAATATTGTTTCTTTTCATCAATGCAAATGTTTGAGTTGTATGTAATTAAAGGCCTTGATTCTTCAAATACAACTCTTTTGTTTTGCCTATCAATACTAGATGAATTTTTAAATGTGCATGTTAATTAGATGGATAAAAAAGCAGAGGATTTATCATCTATTAAACATTATAGATCATTTGTATCTTTTTCTTTAAATCTTGAAGACCTCCTTTTAATGTTCTAATATTTAAAATATTGCTTAAAATGCAATTTATTTTATTTCACATATAATTTTTTTCTTTATGAAGATTTAAAAGGTTTTGAACTTTAATGTTTAGTAAAAATAGGACAATTTAAAAATAAAATTTTTACTTTAATGTGTGTCCATTTTAAACTGGAATATATATTGACGATCGCAACGCTCGAATACGCCATCTGGGGAGAGACCGGTTTCATGCTTTTGGTCCTTCTCCCTTCCCTCTCCTCCTCTTTTCAGTTGTATAGGAATGTACTGCGATATTTTCCCTTTTCTTAATATTTTTCCTTTTTATTTAGTAAAAATATGTCTTAAAATTTCTGTGATGCTTTTCTTTAGAACTATGCTTAATGTAGTTTTCAGTTCCATATAGTTTTCCAACTTAAAAGATTTTAATCTATATGAAAATCAAGAGAGAAACTAACATATTTTCTTCCTCTATGACTCTCCTCGCGCTAATGGGGAAAGCATGTGAAGTGTTGCCATAGGTAGAGAGTTCTGCTCTTTGCCACCTGTAGCCCATTTCAATCACCAATATTTAAAAAAAAAAAAAAATTGTTCTTTATTTTTGTATTTCTTTAATTTTTTTCTTATACTGTTTTTAATTTACCCACTTCTATTAACAATTAACCAGAATTTCAAAAATTGGATCCTGAAGACCCCTGAACTATAAAATCTAGTTATAACTATGTACTGATGTACATAATAAGTAATAATAATTTTTTAAGGTAATAACTTCCAAAGATCATTATTAATATTCTTGTTAAATTCAAAGAAATTAAAAAAAGATTATAAAACTGAAAAATAAAGTTGTCTGTTCCTAAACTAAATTATTAAATAAATAATTAAAAAATTGCACTTCATATATATTCTTTAGATAAGTTTTAATATAAAATTTATTGTGGATATTTTTAAATTACACCAATCAGAAATGCATTTGGGAAGAAGCAGATGAAAAAAGTAGCGTTTAAATTAAATAGTTAAAAATTTATCTGTAAGTTAAATTGTTCTTTTTTTAAATAATAAAATTCTTCATTGGGCTGCCAATTACTATTCTAAAAATGTTTGAAAAAAAATTAGTTTGGTGGCTTTAAATTTTGAACGAAATGTATGAATTTTTCTTCTTATTTTTATTATCCTATTTCTGTTAGTTTATTCTATATTTTTAGGAAAATGGGATTGATGCTATTCATCCTGGATATGGTTTTCTATCTGAGAGAGCTGATTTTGCTCAAGCTTGTATTGCAGCTGGTATCCGTTTCATTGGACCTTCACCAGTTGTCATGGAAAAAATGGGAGATAAAGTTTCAGCTAGAAAAGTTGCAATATCAGCTGGTTTGTTGTTAAGAATACTGTATTTTGATTTTATATTTATGGTTGAATAATGTTTTTGTTGTATTTTATGATTGACTCTCGAAAATTTCATTTTCTGAGTTTCTATTTTTGAAATTATTTTGCTATTTAAAGCCAAAATTTAGTATTTAAAAAGTAGTAATTTGAAATTGTCTCTTTATTGATATAAAAATAGTAAATAAGATTCAGTTTAAAATTGTTTACTATGAATCCGTTCTTGGTATGATCCCGGTAGCAGACTTTACAGGATGAATCTGCAGTATTATCTTCATAAACCCAAATATGTCTACAACCACGATGCAGTCAGACATAAATTATTATTGTAAAAATTCAGCTTAATCTAATACACATGTGACAAAATTTGCAAATATAAAGTTCTTATACATAAAAATCTTAGGAGTTGTTTAAATTTAAGTAGAATTTCATATAATGATGTTAAAAAAAGGAATAAATCTCTACAGTTAAGCTTGTAATCAACTACAGAAAAAAATTTTTTTTACTTTTTGTTCCATCAGGTGTAATCTCAATTCATCTTTTAAATTTTTATTTGAAACAAGTTAGGAAATGCTTTAGCAAGGAGTTTTTGCAATTTTCCTCTATTTTTTTGCTTTTAAAAAATGAAATAAATGAAAAATAATCTGCAAATGCTGCAATAATCTACAGTGTCTGCTAGGGAGTTTCTGCTACTGCTGGGGGCCATTGGGTATGATGAGCCATTTTTCAAAAAATGAAGTATTCTTTTGAGTTATTTTTTTTAATAGGAATATTGTTTTAATTAATTGAAATATATTATTTATATTAATTGTAAATTATATACTTGCCTTGTTACAACTGTTCTGAAATATAATTTTCTTCTTCCTTTCTCTGTTCCAACTAACATTTTTAAAATAATGTTTTTTACTTACTTGTAAGTTTGTATAAAACTAAGTATTCCCATGTGTATTTATATAAGCAATAAATTAATTTTTTTGCAGGTGTGAAGGTTGTACCAGGTACAGATACTCCTGTTACTGATGTTAGTGAGGCATCCAATTTTGTTAAAGAACATGGACTTCCTATAATTTTAAAAGCAGCTTACGGTGGTGGCGGGCGTGGGATGCGTGTTGTTAAAAAGTTTGAGGTCAGTTGAAAAATTGTTCACTCTTAATAATAGACATTATGTATCTTTTTGCATTAAATATATTAAAATCTTTTTATTATTCAATTAATTTAAGGTGACTGTTTAAAAATCTTATCGATGGCAGAATTTTTTAAATGTTAGTTTAATGACAAGCCTTGTAGCCTTTGTTTTTTCTCCCAAGACTCATTCAAGAGTAGTTTTTTCACAAGCTTAATAAGAAAAGTATTAATTTGTTTACTTATTTTATTAATTTGCATTCAGAAGTTGCTTTACTGAATAAATTGATGCATAAAAACAAAAATGTTCAAAATTTTAAATAACATTAGATTTTCATTGTTTTTTGGTATTTTGAATATTTTTTTAAATCTTTTTAAGAGTGGCTTATATTTTTTATTGTAAGCTACCAGAAATAACATTTTACACACATATTATTTTCAAATATTCAATGCTTTTTAATCATTAATAAAAGTACAGTGGTCCCCACTTAATTGCATATCGGATAATCGAATAACCCGCATGTACACATAAAATTTAGTGGAACCAAATAATTTTATATTAAACTAATGTTAAACTTTCCCGTTTAAACGGATATTTGTTGTTTTTGTCCCCATCTAATTGCATAAAGAGGAGGTAATCAAATGAGAAAAAAAAAAAATTATTTTTGAGAACTCTTTCACCAGCTAAAATGGAATTTCTGCTGTTCAGTTATGATAATAGGTGGTCTCTTTAATAGGGACATCCTGTTCCTTAGTTGGTCTAAATAGGTGGTAAAGTTGAAAAATTAATCAAATCTTGCTGCCAGTTATACATTGAAGTAAACGAAGTTTTTTTTTTTACCTTTCTTTAAATTACTTCACTCACACATCATTAAGAATGTAAAAAAGGTACAGAAAGATTTGTTTTGTGGTCAAGACTTGTGGTTCCCACCTGATACTTTATTTGCTTTGATAAGAAAAAGTTTCCAAAACCTAACACACTAGTGTATCTTTCTCTGAAGTAGAATTATACTTACTTACTTATCCTCTATGTGTCTTTGGGCACTTAAGGCCTCTAGCATGTCCCTCCAACGCCTCCTGTCTCTAGCAATAGATCTTGCTTCCTCCCAGCCAGATATTCTACATTCTTTTAATTCGCCCAAAAACATGCGCTGGATGGTAAGTCTGAGTCTTCCTCTTGTGAAGTAGAATTATAATTGCTTAATATCAGTGAATAAATCTGAGTTAGTTGCAAGTTGAGTGCAAAAAGGAATGATTTGAATTAAGTGAAAACAATAAATCTTGGAAACAGAAAATTTCAAAAAATCCCAAACTGAAATGGTTAATATGGAATTTCTCAAGTTTCGAAGATTAAAAAAAAATAAATAAGTAAAAATAAAAATAATAAATTCTGAATGTATTTGAAAGGAATACGCAAGTCATGAAAGTCTTAACACAATTTGAGAGGGAAAATCTAATTTTGATAAATTGAGGAATTAGACGAGTATAAAACAGTCTTCAATTATAGTTTTTTCGAAAGGGAAATAATTATATTTTAGTACCTATATTTTACTTTTCATTAACATTGATTTAGTTTTATGTAACTTTAAATGACATTTATATTTTATGATACTGACACAGACAGTTTTAATTATAATTGTTTATTGATCATGAAACAGTTTATTTAATTAAGACGCTATACTATGCATTAAATACCACTAAAAAGTGAAATTTCGCAAAAATTTAGAATTTAAAATTCAATATTGCAATCCCTTCTTAATCGAATAACCCTCTTAATTGTATAACTTTGGCTGGAACCGATGGTATTCCTTTAAGTGGGGTTGACTGTACTTATAAAAAAAATTGGGTTGATTATATACTTTTTTCCTCAAATTCAAAAGTAGTTTTAGTCATTGTTAACCAGAAAAGTATTAATTTTTTTGCTTATTTATTAATTTGGATTTAAATAATACTTTTCTTTATATTATTTTCTTGAAATCTCAAATCGTTTTAGATTTTAATTTTTTTTTCATATTTGACACTTATTCTAAATTTTCAAAGGGAACAAGACATTTTTTGTAATTTTTGTCAGTTAATTTCATGGCGTTTAATATTAGATAATATAGTGGGCCACAAAAGTTCAGGATGAAGTAAAATATTTCTAAAAATTCTGAAATTTGCATATTTTTTTCCCTTTTCACTGAATGTGTAGCATTTTGATTAAAAAAATATCACAGAAAATGAAATTGCTAAAAAAATCAAAGAAGAACAAATATTCACATTTTTGCCAGATTTAACTGTCACAAAAATTATAAATATTGGCAAAATAATAAATATAGGCACAAATGACAATATTAAAAGAAATTGAATTACAAAATTTTAATAATTCCCAACAATAACCCCAAGGGTTCACAATGATAGCTGAAAATATAACAATTTTCTCACTCGGCATGTACTTACCTAATCTAGTTTCGCTTGTTTATGATGTAGTTTAAGACAAGGAATTCGGGTCATCTTGTACCTTTTGCTGTATCCAGTTTAATGAATTTGTCTATGAATGAGATCTTTTGACAGAATATGTCCCATTGTATTTATGTCACTTGTTACAATTTTAGTTAAAAGCTGATTTTTGATTTTTTTCTATTTTCTCCATAAGTTTTCTTTCTCAGTATTTCTCATCATGATTATGGTTTATAATTCTTACTACATATTGAAACCCTGCATATATCTAGTATTAAGCAATTCATTTCAACAGAGATTTCTTAAATAATCATATTTTCAAATTTTAAGTTCCAAAGTCTGAAAATTTTTTCATGTTTTAAATGCCTTGATATTATAAATAAAATTTAAAAATGACCCCAGGAATTCATAATGACTGCTGAAAGTATAACAACTTTCTAACTTGGCACTATTTACTAAAAATCTGGATTTATCTGCTCGTATCTGAACACTGTGACTTGTATTTCAGTTTTATCTGTGACTTGTGTTTCAGTCTTAAAATATATTAAGGGACAAAACATAAATTGCTTCACTTCAATATTTTGAACTTCCTTCATCCCTTTTGTTGAAGTGTCACACTTCACCTTACCTCCTTGCCATGTCATAACGATATGCCAACAGTTCTGAAACAAAACCCATGCTATTAATTATATTTCCAATTTTATTTTTAAATTTAACGTTTTTTAATGACATTTGTAAGCAAAACAACAATAATGGTCAGATGAATGTTTATTTTGAGAAAAATATCTTAGAAAAATGTAACCAAAATGTGTGATGTCACACTTTTTGGTACCCCTTTAGACAAGGTATCATTTATGAATGGCCTCTGAATAAAGTTTGTATAAGTGTGACTTTCCGTACTTTAATTTAAATAGATTTGTAAATTAATTTAGGAATTTGAAGAGCTTTTTAAGCGTGCTGTATCTGAAGCTACTTCTGCATTTGGAAATGGAGCTGTTTTTATTGAAAAGTTTATTGAAAAACCCAGACATATTGAAGTTCAACTACTTGGTATGAAACTTATCTATTTCATATGACCAAATGTTTTCATATAAGTTATTTTTTTATATATCATTGGCAGCTCTCCTAAAGCATAAATATGTCAATTAGCGAAAAATGTAGATTCATGGATTGAACATAGTGTTGACAATTTTCTGCTGCAGAAATTTTATTTCGCTTGATTTTTTAAAATTAATTATTAATTGGTACAGTACAGAACCCGTTATCCGGAAATCAGAAAACCGGAAAACCAAAAAATCGGAACGAAATTCGATACATTTTCGAGCCATTTTAAAAAACATTTTTTTTTTCCTCATAAGATTTTAGGATTTTTCTTTCTTTTCTGAAAGATGTTTACCTTACCATCATTTTGGAAATAATCATTAGTGTATTACTCCATCGTTTTTTCTTCATTTTAAGATTATTTCCAAAAAAAAATTTTTTTTAGTTGGGTTTAACAATAAAAAAAAACGGCTTTTTGTGGCGATTCAGAAAACCGGAAAAATCAGTTATCCGGAATAGCGATGGTCCCGATCGTTCCGGATAATCGGTGCCTTACTGTATTGTTAATGCTGCATTCATTAATAAAAAACAATAATTACTTAATTTAAAATTTTATTTTCTGGCTATAGCTTGTATACAGCTTGGAAAGAGTATGTTAGTGAAAAGTTCAAAATAATTATTAAAAATTTATAATTTTTTATTATATTTTATTTATAGAAAATATTCATTTGTAATAATATAAAAAAGTCATTAAATTAGATAATTATTTTATTATTAAAGCAGATTCATGCTAATAGATCATGATGAGTATATCCAATTCTACTTAAAAAATGCATTTTGTGGATTTTTAATCTACTTACATTATTTCTAAGATAAATTAAGTCAAATAAATGTATTCAATCGAATAAATATATTTAATTTAATAAATATTTATTTATCACTCTGATAAGATTAATAAATTGATGAAAGTTATAAAATGGAGCTAGAACAATTTATCCTGCTGAAAAAAAAATTATGCTTTATTTGCAAAAATATTTGGTTAGTTTACTTTCGTATAAATTTTATGTATTAAGATTTCAAATCCCTCAACATTTTACAAATATATTTTAAAATACAGTAATTTACTATAAGCCTTGATTTATAAAGATCCTGAATTTAGTGTGAAAATTTTTTAGTAAATGCTTGATTTAATGTAAGAAAGCATATATATAAAACAATATTATTACCAGCATAACTTGGACATAATGAAGACTTTTTTTTGAAATTTCTTGAAAATTATTTTATTGAAAACATGAAAAAAGTATTTGATTAATTATAGAAAATTCATATCCTTTGAATGGATTCAAAAACATTCCTTTTCTGTTTGTTTAAAAATTGTATGTTGATAAGTTATGATAAAAATCTGAAGTTCTTCATATATCTTGCCATAAACCACACATTTGTAATAAATTGCACAAGATGTTACAATGCAAAATATTGAACAGATTCTTTGCCTATGCTGTTCATGTGTCTGTACATTCTTCGTCCAACCATGGCCATGTAATTAGCCCTGTTTTTCAATGCTTTATCTTTTAACAACCATGGTAGGAAGGTCACATAACTTTAACTCTGGTCAGATGACATAAACAGTTCCTGAGCTGGTATCCCTCTCTCCCAACTTCTACATTGATTGAGGGGACTTTCAGCCACTACACATGTAATGCACACCTTGTTGCACACACATGCCAGATTTTTAATCTACTGCGAGGATCAAACTGTCAACCCCTAGCTTTCCACCAGCAGTATGAGTGATGCCAAGGGGCATATTTGGTAGAATATGCCCCTTGAGTGCTTCTTATGTCTGTGCAAGTAAATAAATAAATCTGATAATATTAAAGAAGGGGATTTAAAACACTACAATCCACATTAAAAGTTAGTTCATAGCAAAGCTTAACGTAGCCCACGGGTCTATCCTTCAAATACTAGGGAGTCATCAAGTAAGGGCAGCCCCACAACAAGAGTACTTAGCACAAGGCACGTAGTCCCGAGCCATGCTTGACAAAGATCAACTTTTATATCTTATTTATGAGATTGAATGATAAAAATAAAAAAAAAATCCATTAATATTCATTTTGTAAGAAAACAAATGCAATTGTTATCAATCACTTGCCTTTAATAAATTTTAGCAACATTTTATCAGGGTAGAATTTTTTCCGAATCTTTTTTCTAAAAAAATATTTATGAATTTGAAAAATAAAAATACAATAAGCAGTATTATTTTATTTGACTTTATAAGATTTATTTAATTTAATGTAATAAATCTACAATCCAAGCAAATTATAATAAGCAATAAAATATTTTGTTACAAATGTTACTGAGATATAGTGATCAACATACTTTTCAACATTAATGCTGACCCCAGAACAGTACATGTAATCTGCTCTACCTATTCCTTCCCTTTAAAACTTCCCTATTTTTCCCTTTAAGACTTCATTAATTCAGCAGTTGATAATTTCGTAAAAGTTGTAAAAATTCTTTATTACGAATTTGGTTAAACCAAGAATCTGTATTTTTTTGTTATAATAATTAATTTTTATCATTAATTTAGAGTATGAGCGTAATTTTTGTAATTCTGTCAATTTAAACTTTTTATATGCATTAACTCTATGATCAGCATTTTTAATTACTGTGTCTTTAGTGTGCTTATTTTTAGTCTTGTCATTTTTTTATTGCTTTAATGAGGCCCTTTGATGTATCTAATATTTATTTGTTTGTACACATTGGTAAGTAAGCTCTTATTTTTGTATTTTCAGGTGATAATTATGGAAATGTTGTTCATTTGTTTGAAAGAGATTGCTCAGTTCAAAGAAGACATCAAAAAGTGGTAGAAATTGCACCTGCTCCAAATTTCCATCCTTCGGTATATTTCATTTCTTCTCTTTGATACAAACATATTTGTTTTCTATTTTTTTTAAAGGACAAAATATTTTGAATTTGTCATTTCATTGTAAATTGTTGCACATTTTCACAGCATAATGTTATGCACATGTTACAGCTACGTTTTAATAAATCTTTTTTGCAAATTGATAATTATAAATCAATTAAACTTATCAGATTATGTGTTGAAAATTCATGATTTTTAAAACCAATTGAATATTAAGTAATTTGGTTTGATTCTTTGTAATATAAAAACAATCACTATCAAAAAATGAAATTTACTCAAATACTTAGTTCTTAAAGAAAAAAAAATTTGGACTTCAAGTTAAATTTAATAAAAAAATAAGCGGCAATTTTTTTTCTCCTCAAATTATAAATTTAATTTTAGTTTCAAGTAAGATTTCAATATATTAACAACTACATTGCAAAAATATATGTCTTGTATAACAATTTATCCGTTTTAGTTACCAAATCATGTGTGATTATCTCTCCAGCTCTTTAAATTGGGCCTTTCACAAACTTGTTTCATAGCTCTTCTTTGAGATTATTAAGTCCCCTCAAATGATATCGCTGTTTTGCATTACACGAGAATGTTCTTTTCTAAGTCCTTTTAGATAAATAAATAATGTCTATTAATTTTTATATTTTGAAAATAAAAATGATATGTTTAATAAACCATCTCAACAAAATTCTCAGATGTTGATAACTGTTATCGTGTGGAGTTTGCTGTTGAAGTTGCCAAAGTTTTGCTTATTTTTTAATTTAGATAAAATATAAAATGTAATTATAAATAGAACTAAATTTTCTAAAAACCATGCATCAGATATTTAATGAATGATAAATAAATATTTAGTGTATACTATAGATTTTGCACAAATAATGTTACCTGATGACATATTCTTGCCAATGTTAAAATAATGTACAATTTTAAAAATTGATGACCTTTTGTTGCTGAATTATTCCTAATATTTATTGATTAGTATCTCTTTCCCCCCCCCCTCTGTGTTAAGGCATCTATCTTGTTATTGCTACATCTTTAATGTTCAAATTCTAGTAGTTTTTCTAAATATATGTTTAAAATCATCTTCAGATGTAATTCAAAATGTAAAATTAATCTTATTACCGATCATAAGTTTCACTATAAAAGTAAAATAAACTGAATTATCTATATTTTTACACTGTCTTTAATATTTAAATAATATTACTCTTTTGCTCTGTGAGTTCATTTATAACTTATATTTATTGTTATAGATAAGGAAGAAAATTACAAATGATGCTGTGAGATTAGCCAAGTCAGTTGGTTATGAAAATGCCGGTACTGCTGAATTTCTTTTGGATGAAAATGGAGATCATTACTTTATAGAAGTTAATGCCAGGTTACAAGTTGAACACACTGTTAGTGAAGAGATAACTGGGTAGGTCTTTGTTAGTAAAATGAATTTTTTTTATTCATAAGAATATGCTTTTAAATGTTTAAGTGTGTTATATTGCTTTTGTCTTCCATAATAATGTACATTTTTGTCTCTGAAAAAAAGTTTTAAAGTCTGTTTTAGTTTTAAATATGCACATTATGATGTAACTATTTATGCACTTCATCAGGGGTTTCAACTCTTAATTCTGTGTAATATCTGCATGCCCTGTGAATTTTTGTATACCACTTGCGTCAAAGATCTTTAAATTCAAGTGGTATTAAATAAATGTTTAATAAATTTTTGAATATCAAAACTATAAAATGTTTATAAATATAAAGGCAATATTTATCTTAGGATAAATAGTAAAACAATTGATTAAAAACTAATATGAATGAAAATGTTATAAACTATTTGAAATAGCAACACAACGTGAAAAACACACGTGTCAAAAAACATTCAGTTTAATTAGTTTAAATGAGATTGAAATAGGTGTTTCATTGTTTAATGATATTTTTTTGAAGTTTAATATAGCTAGTTTTGGTTAGCAATAGATGATAAAATATGTTTTAACAATTAATTGGCTGAAAAAGAATTTGCTGTCTTAGAACTGGTGTTGATCATACTGATTATCTGTTTAAATTTATAGTCAATATGCTGCCAAATTCATATTTAAAATGCTGTTTTAAAGCAATGAATGGCCAAGTTTTAGAACTGTTTCTATTAATATGTTTCATGTTTAATTCCATCTGAGAGTTTTCAAATGTTACCATTTGTATTATTCATGTGATGCTAATAGTCCTAATATCTCTATTTCTTTTATTTAAAAACATTATTGCTGTGAGCTTTTTTATTGTAAAAATACATTATGTTAGGAAGGTAGATTACCAGAGTGATCACAAAATGGAGAAAAGTTAGTAATTTTTGTAAATTTGGGTTAATTTCAACTTTAATAGTGAGAAAAAGTGTTTAATGTATTGTATATGTAAATAAGACAGAACTAAAAAATTAATCATGAAATTTGTGTCGTTAGTGGCAAAAATCGGGGAAATTTGATAAAATCAGTGAGGGAATTATCTAGCTGTTGGACCACTCTAATAGTGTTTTAAAAATAATTTTAGCTTTTTCAAGAATTGTATTATTTTTATTTAGAATTTCTCTACTAATATTTGTTTAAATGGATCTATATGATATTTGTTTATAGGATTGATTTAGTTCAGTCACAAATAAAACTCAGTGAAGGCCACAGCTTAGCAAGTCTTGGAATGATTCAAGATCACATCCACATGAAAGGTTGTGCTATTCAATGTCGTGTAACTACTGAAGATCCAGCACAAAATTTTCAACCAGATACTGGAAGAATTGAGGTCAAAATTTTTTTTTCTTGGCAAAGAATTTATACTTTTTTCATAGTTTTTTTTTTTTTTAAATAAATTTTTTTTATTTTCGATTTCTATACAATATCTTTAAAAGTTACTTATTGGTATACTAGAAAAGCTTTTTAACATTATCAAAGCGTCCATTTGCAAGTTATTTATTTACCTTCACCTAAATTTAATGCATTGCTCAGCATTATTTTTAAAGAATTGCTTTATTAACATTTATTGCTGTGTTCTTAATAAAAACTATTATTTATACTAAGTATGCCATTTATGCATGCTTTCATAGTAACTATTTAATGCTTATAATTGGACTTAAATAATTGTTTTCCTTTTCCTTGTACAATAGCAAAAAACAGTTCATAAAACAGTTTTGTAAAAAGTCTAGTTTACATGCATAGAGGAAATTTTTCAAAAGATCTACAATTTTTCTGTATTTAATTCATTATTGACTAATGATGATGATTTGACTGAAATGAATAACTAAAATCTGTAATGTTATGAGCTAATTTTTACAACGACTTGAATTCATCTAAAATTAATTAAATTATATCAACTTATCAAAAAATTTATATTGCATTTTTGATATAAACTAAGCTTTTTATTTCACCTTTCATTTAGGTGGTGCTAATGACTTATCCAAAGGTTTAAAAATGTTTTATTAAGAAACGGTAATGGATAAAAAAGGAATGAAGTTTTTAATGCAATGAATATTAATATGATGTTTATAAATTATTGTTATTAAGTTTTTGTTATGGAAGCATTTATGCTTAAGAGCAAAAAAATAATAACGAAGGGAGAATAAAACAGAATATATTTTGCTTTAACTCATGAGTGCCTAAAATGTAATAAATTCTACTAATATTGTGTTTTATTGTTGCTTTAGAATAAATTCTCCAATTTGTTTATTAGGTTTACAAATGCTTTAGTGAAAAGCATTAGTGGTGTTTTATTTGTTTTGTTGTTTCGGTTGAAATACTAAGCTGTTAGAAAAGTGAATTCTGATATCTTTATTTTATGTATCAAGAAGTTGTGTGCTACAATGAAAAAATAGTTTGAAAATCGTTGAGTGAATGAAAAGAAATTTTTTTTCCAGCCTTTTACAATCTAATTACAATACAATTTACATAGTCCCAAAATGATATTTTAATGACTCCAATGAGAAGGAATGAAAAAATCCAATATTATTATAAATTTTAACATAGATATAAGCCTCTTCCTTGCAAGCATCTAAGTTAAAAATTAAAAGTTAATAATCAAATGAAAAATTTACACAATCTCATTTCTATATTAAAAATTAAATGTGAACTCTTGTTTTTTTGCGTAACTTAAAACATTTTTGATATCTAAATCGTTATTAGAAAATGAATGGAATAGCTGGCTATAAATTTCAAAATATTACACATTTTCAAAACTATTCAGATAAATATTTAGGAACCCAAAAGTTAAAAGAATTAAAATTTAAACTGGCATTTGCTAGTTACATTATAACACTAGTAGATTTAGTTGTTTCTTATTTAGTTATTTTTAATTTAAATTTAATCAGTATTTCAGACATTGTGTATGCACAAATTAATTTATCTAATTATGCATTTCTTAGTCATGCTTTTATCATTACTACTAATATTTTAAAGTTCGATATTTATTTTCTAAATTGTCAGCAATACACATAGTTTCTTACACTTCAGGTGTTCCGTAGCGGAGAAGGTTTTGGAATTCGCCTTGATGGTGCATCTGCATTTGCTGGTGCTGTTATATCTCCTTATTATGATTCCCTTTTAGTTAAAGTTATTGCTCATGCTCGTGATCTCGCTGCCACTTCTTCCAAAATGAGCAGAGCTCTTAGAGAGTTTCGTATTAGAGGAGTAAAAGTAAGCCTTTATAATACTTTATTTTTAAACTTTATTAGACTTATGTAATTTTTATAAAATTGGCAGTTTAATAACTTAGTTACTAATAGCACTGTAGTTTTGTAAAACTTCCCTACCACATTCTGTGTGATATTTCCCTCTCCTAAATCGAAGCATCATTAGTTCCATCTGATTTTGTTTTTGAAAAAAAAATTGTTTTTAAATTTTCAAGCATTGAGAATTGGACGGTCAGTTACTGTTTTTTCTACCAGGCAGATAGCGCTGTTTTTCGGCATTCAGTTTGCAGACCTGCCTCTAAGTGAGTTATCCATTTTTGTTGATGTCACAGGATTTTAAGCATTGGCTCTCAGAACGTTTTGTTAAATTGTAGTTTTGTTTGAGCACGTCTATTCCGAATCAGAGTTAAACTTCTTCTACAAAACAGTTTAAATATTTTATGAAGTAAAAATCAAAACTTCAGTTATAATAAATTCAGTTATTTCTGAATGAATTTTACGATAGAATCTTTAACTTTGATTCATTGCTTTAAGGATGATTCAGTCGTTCTAAATCAAGTTAAGTTTCCTTCAGTTTTCAGAAAACTACATAAAATGTTTTATACTGTACAACTGACTGTACTTCTATTTAATTATTGAATAAGAATAGTCTTATTTTAGCCATTTCCATATTCCAATTAAAAATTTATATTCCCTCTTCACCTTTTTTTAAATTATATTTACTTTGCAATTTATATTTTTTAATTTGCTTGTATAGCTGTGTATTTTTTTTTACTACCATTCTATCCTCTGTAATACATTTTCCTTCTTAAATCAAAGACCTCATATCTTTCCCTCTACTTAACTTCAAAGATGACAGGAATTTCTGCATTTTGCCACAATTGTTCTAGTTCAAAATGGTGTTAAACCCATGAAAATTTTTCCCCAATCTTTTGGATACTGCATAAAAGTTTCTGTACTGTATTTTTGACATTAGTTACTGGCAGGGTTCGTCGATTTAAATCAGCTTGATTCAAATCACAATTTAAATCATGATTTAAATCAAATGATTTTTTAAAAAAAATCATTGATTTAAATCAACTGATTTTTTTTAATATATATATTGATTTTAAAAGTTAAAAAACTGTGTTTTAAGTTATTGATACTTTTATTGTTTTCTTTTCTTAGTTTTAAAATTTATTTTAAATAAATTGCTGTGTTAATTAATTTTAGTTAACGAAATTACTTTCTTTCTTAGTGTGTGTTGAATTCCAACACGTTTGAAATTACATTTTAAAAAATCTTTTGATTCTTGAGATTGAAAGTACACACTTAATGCTGTCTTAATATAGATTTGCATAGCTATAGAAAGTAATTAATAGACATGAATTTCGAGAAAAAAAATACAAGTAATCTTAATTAAAATTCTACCTATTGATTGAATTAGCATGGAATTAAAATCTACATTATATTTTATTGGTGGAAAATGCATATTTCTAAAGCTTGAGGTTATATTAAAAAGAAATTACCCTAATATACCAAAAAAAAAGAAAAAAAAGGCTAATGAATTCAGATATTTTTTCCTGATATGTTGTCATTCTTCTCTTTCAAAGTTTATTTGAGGCAGTAGAGTTATTAACTGGTAACTTGTGTTTTTTTCTCATAATATGTTTACAGAATCTTTGACATTATCAGATTTTCTATAAAGAAATTTTGTGAAAAAAAATTCCAATGAGTGCATAGATTTTTTTAAAATTTTTTTTAGCTGATCTATTTTGATATAGTATTAAAAAGGAATATTTTAATATAAAAATATATAGATTAAATATTTATTTATTTTTTGATGAATGACTACATTTATAAACACAATCTCTTACATTTATTTTGTCAGATAAAAAATCAAGAGAAAAAAAACCCAATTTTAAATTAAAATTATGGTTTGCTAATTGAAACTTTAATTTAATAAATAAAGAGTCTGTCCTAGCCAAATTTGCTAATGCTTAGGGTACCTTCACAAATTCAACTTAAGGAAAAAAATACTTTTTTTTAAATTTTATTTTTGTGTTTCGTAAGAATCGAATAAATTCGTATTTTTGTGTTGATTTTTTAATATTTTTAATTTTTCACAAATTATGTCTAAATTTTCACAAAATAAATACCTCTCAGAAAAACCTAGACAGACCCCTTTCATTAAATTCTCTATTTCATCTAGTCTTCAAATTTCAATCATGTATTTGTTTCAAAATGGTTGCTATGCATTCAAAGCTATATATTCTAATGAAAAATTATATTAGTAAGTTAGAGCTTCTATAATATTGTTAATAATATTGTCTTAATATTAATTTAATTTTGATTAAACATTTATAAAGTATTTTTAATCATAAATTAAAGTTCTTACAATGTGTTTGAATAAAATAAAAGAAATCTGATTTAAATAAAAAAAATCCGATTTAAATAAAAAAAATCTGTTTTTTTTTTGTTGTTTTTTTTAAAAAAAATCACGAACCCTGGTTACTGGTTACTTTTGTTTTTCTGTAAAATAATATGAATACAGAAGTTTCTCATTGTTTTAAATACTTGAGGTTGTTTTAAAAGCATTAGTTGTTTTTCGATTTCAACGTCTTTATTGGTCTAATTTTGCACTGTGACTATTTTTGAAACCAACAGCACAACACAGGCTTTAATATTTTCTCACCTGCTGCATAAACATAAAATGTGATGTTTCAGTTCTTTTCCTTAAATTGTAACAAATCCTGATTCTCCTCTTTATCATTAGCATCAAGAGTTACCTTTTCTTCTTTCAAAAATAAATAATTGTAAGTTTTGTGAAGAGCCTTAAGCTACAGATGCAGGCATCTTCTAGTATAGCATCTTCCATGCAGGCATCTTCTTTTAAAAATAATCTAAATGTACATTTTTAACTCTATAAATAGTATTTGTGTTGGGACTGGTAAAACAAGACTATACATACTAGAAAACAAAAGATATAAAGATGGATCATGGTTTGATTGTATGAACTTTAAAATAAACTAAATAAATTAAAAGAAAAATATATTATGCATATTTTTCAAGCTGCCATTAGTTGTGCTTTTTTTTTATATGCTATTAACATCAAGGAGCTTTAGTTAGAATTAACATTTGATTTTTTTTTCCTTTTAGACTAATATCCCATTTCTTCTTAATGTTTTGGAGAATCCAAAGTTTTTAAGTGGTACAATTGATACAAATTTCATTGATGACAATCCTCTTTTGTTTCAATTTGAAGCAACTCAGAATAGGGCTCAAAAATTGCTAAGATATATTGGTGAAGTTATGGTTAATGGCCCTACCACACCATTAGCTACTAATTTAGTGCCATCTGAGTTAGATCCAGTAGTGCCAGAAATTCCAGCAGGTGAGTTGTTTATATTGAATTATCATGGGTTATATTGAATGCTTTTATATAAACTATTATATTGTTGCTTTTTTTAATTGAAATAAATTTTCTTCATTTATAAAGTGTTATTTAAATTGCAAAATCTACTAAAAAAATTATTTCAGTTTAAAAACTTTAATTTAACAATATTTACATCAGTATAGTAGTTTCACTATTCTGTATTGAAACAGTTGACATCATTTTATATTTTAATTACATACAATTTTATTTATTTTATTTCTACTATGATAGAACAAGGCACTTAAAATTATGCAGATCACTAGTGGGAACCACTGATAATCTAAATAAGATTGGCTTTTTAGTGTTAATTTGTTTTCATTTGATTAAACAGCTGATCTTTGGATTTGAACTGTCAAAATCTTGCAAGTGTAGAAGGTTAAAAAAATCATGAAGGAGACAAAGAGAGCATTGTACTAATTTCTTCTGTAGATTAAGTAAACACAGGTCCCACAACCCTAAAATGTTCCAACGATCTTTTATTTTTACATTTTTTTTTATTAAATATCAGACTTTTAGTATAATTAGTTTACTAAGACTGTGTAATACTCTTTATGTTTGTCACGGTGTGTTGTGCCACTAAACACAACATTCAACTCGACTAGGTACAAATTTGCTACATGGCTTGAAGTCGCAGATTTTGCTACAATGGGATCCTTACTTGTATTCTGTGTTAAAAAAAGTGCAAGGTTGCATTTAAAAGCACTTAAAACTTTAAATAAGCAGGCAATAAATCCAATGTTAAAGGTGAATGTATAGCCCATTTTCTTTAAGACTGCTGACAAAATCGAAACTAACTTCTATTTCCCCCCTATATAAAAACATGGAACTTACTCTTCATCCCTTTTCAACTCGCAATCTAATTCTCTGAATACAAAATTTTCTACCTTCCCCTCTTAATCAAAATGTTAGATGTTAGCTGATTTACAAATGTTGCGATTTCTGTGTGATAGCAATTCAAGTTAATTTAGGTTTCAAGAGCCACAAATATTTGATCCAAACTACATAAAATTTCCCTGGACCCACAATTGATGAAAAAGAATATGCTATTTTATATATTTTGTGTTTTGTCTTTGTTATTGTCACATAATACCATATTTCATCATAATTGTTAACATTTCATATTCTTTGCATTGTAATTTTTCATTTAAATTAACTATATTAACTTTTAAAAAAAAAAGAGTCTAAAGATACATGTAAACGGTTCAGTGTAAATGTGTACAGACATGTTTCTTAATTTCTACCCCTGCTAAGCTTTAAATTATTCAATGCTTTTAAAATATTCTAATAAAAGTAGTATTTGCCAATTCACATATAATATATCGCTTATGTAACTCAATTTTGTGTTTTAGGCTTCAAACCTTCCAAAGGCTTCAGGGATATTTTGTTAAGAGAAGGACCAGAGGCATTTAGCAAAGCTGTACGAAATCACAAAGGTCTATTGTTGATGGACACAACATTCCGTGATGCTCATCAATCTCTTTTAGCTACCCGAGTTCGTTCTTATGATCTCCTCAGAATTTCACCTTTTGTTGCTCATAGTTTCAATAACTTTTTTAGTCTTGAAAATTGGGGAGGTTAGTCTTTTTTTATACTTAATTATTTTTGAGTAATTACTTTATCTTTTATAATACTATTTATTGTATATAGCGATTGTATTCATTCATCACCTCAGTTTCATACCTTTTCTATTGAGTAACATATTACCAAAAAGTAATAAATTTGTACATAAGATCTAAGGTAACCCCCTTAAAAGTAGATAAATTTGTTTCTTCCAATTGGCAGTTACGAATACATATATTGCATTAAAATATAATTTGAATATCTCATTAAATGTAAGCAGTATGTCTCATAGAAATAACTCAAATTCAATGGATGAGGTTCTAGAATTAAGTTATAAATTATCCAATTTTCTTTGTTTTTAAAAGTAAAAGAGAAAAATGAAAATTTTTGGATAAACTACCATACTTATGTAGGTATAGAATTGCAATCCATCTCTTTCATTCAAAAAACAATCAATAAAATACAGAAGATATAAATATGTGTATTTAAAGAAATAAGTGTAACACATTTCCTATCCCTTGCTATATACATTTTGAAACTTATTTATTTGAGATTTAAAATTAATGAAGAGACATAAAGAAAAAATATTTTCCTTTATCAATCTGAATTGTGAAAAATTTACACATATTGTATATCAGTGTGTTAAGTTTACAGAAATAAATGGGTGAGTATAAGTTGTATATGCCAATCATCCTTGTTTTATTTACTGATTGTAAAACAAATACAAGGGCATTTGTTTAACATATTGTGCAACATTTTTATTTTGCATACATATATCGGTTGTAAACACCAAATGCCAATATAGTATTTTTTGTTATTATTATCAAATGCAGTGAGCCTTTGGACCATGCGCTCTTCAATATTTCTCTACTTGAGTAGAGCAAGAATATTCTGCAGTCACTTATGTAAATGCAAAGCAATAATATCCCGTCTAGTCATACAAAGAGATCATGCAGGAGAGTCAACAATGTTTAAAAGAAAAAGACGAATTTGTGGTTTAAAGAAGAGTACATTCCAAAGTTTTTTCCTCAAAAGATGCTAAGTCATTTCATGAAGGAAGAGCTTGGAAATCCTAGCAATTTCTAGTTCAGCTAAATGGAATCCCAAGTTCCCAGAAGTGATATTACTTGTAGTTGAGATAAGCTTTCTTGATCCAAATTTAATTCCTTTTAAAAAAAGAGAACAGATACAGTGTTTTCATCATAGAAAAAAAATGGGTGAGAATTTCTCACCCTTTCTCAAAAACAGGGTGAGATTTTAAAAACTTAAGTGAGATTTCTAAAAACTAAAAAAAACACAAAAACTCGTTAAAATTTTTTTTTTTAATTATAATACATTTCTCACGTCTTCTATTTTTTAAAGCATTGAATATTTTTGGTGCATCATCATAGAAGATTTTGCCTTTACAAGGTATTTGTCCATCTTACATTAGCATAAAAATTTTGAACGTCTTACATGAAGAAACCTAGCCTACGGTAAACACGTGGTTGCAGAGGAATGTGTTCTGAAAGGGGTTCTGTGGTTGTGTTCTGTTGTTCGAAAAGGTTTTTAACAATACTGGTAAATAGGGAAGCTAGATAACGGGACAGGTGTTGAAAATAATGAAAGATACAGGCAGAAAAGTGAAACTGATTTTATTCTAAATGGCGTAATTCTAAGCTTTGTTCGAAAATGCGAGAAATTCGCGATTTTTGAAATTGATTTATAGAATGCGCAAATTTCTCACGGTAATAATTTTTTAATGCGAGAAAAGAAAAAAACATGCGAGATTCTCGCGTTCTCGCGCTGTAGTGAAAACACTGAGATAGTTACATTCTTTTTACTTTAAAAAGTTCAGAATGTTTTTAAATAAAGGAGAAATATCTATATTTATTTTAAGTGTTGTGTGTGTTACTTATTTCAATAACTGAGTTATCAATGTACACTTCTAATAAATTTGTTATCAATGTACTCTTCATATGGTAGAGAATATTTTATATATATATATATACCAGCATATTACTTAAATAAGAAAGGAACTCTAAAAGCAGTTCTGAGTGTTGTCAAACAGGGGCAACAAACCTCTAGCTATTAATAATAACAGCTTAATATGATTACATCAGTGTTCAATATTAAAAAGATATTCAGATTTGTTTTTAAAACCTTTACAAAATACTGTCTTTTAAAAAGACCCTTTAAAAAACTCATAATTTGACATAATTTTCTAAAATATGCAATTAATATTTCATTTTGGTTTCTTCTTACAATGCATGTTAATTTTATGCATGCAAAAATATGCTTTTTTGTGGTGAAAAACTGATGGTAAAATTATATTTATACAGTTTCGAAAACCTTACAAATAGAATGTGATACAATTGGAATTTTTCTGTAACCACCAATAGACAAATTAATTTGTCAATAATGAGTAGAAATTGCTGTGATTAAATGTGAATTATGTATAATAATAATATGATGGTTCTTAAAGGCTATATTTATTAATACTTCTTTTTTTTTTGTTCATTTGAATTCATACCAGGGTTACTAATTTCATGCATTACACCTTTCTTATATTTATTTATTATTAATTATATCTTTAAATTTTTTTTTTTCAGATAGGGCAAATAAATGTGTTCCTTTCTTTTATGAATGCATAGTAATATTTTTAAATGTTTCTTTGGTATAATTGAAAACTAAGTATTCTAGTTGTAAACTTATTTTTGTCAACTAAAAAAACTTATTTATTTTAATTTATCTTTCATATTTTATTGTTACAAGGCATAACTTTGTTTAATAAAATTTTTCATTTCATTTTTACTTATATAATAATGTGTATAGAATATTTAACAATATTATAATTATTTTTTGAAAACAAAACATTAAGTTTTCTCGGTATTTTTTTCTGTCGTAATTAGAATCAGAAACAATTTTGATGTTTATAAAATGTTTAATGAACATTTTTGTAGGAGCTACTTTTGATGTTGCAATGAGATTTTTGCATGAGTGTCCTTGGGAACGCTTGCAGAATATGCGAAATCTCATTCCTAATATTCCTTTTCAAATGCTGCTGAGAGGAGCTAATGCAGTAGGCTATACATCATATCCTGATAATGCTGTGTTTAAGTATGTATTTAAAATATTCATTTTAAACTATAAAACATAATGTATCATTTAGCTGTGTTTGTATTGTTTAATTCATAAGTTTAGAGTTGCTTTAATTTTACTCAAACTATACCGGTTCTCAAAACTAAATTTTTTTAGTTGTAATTATTGTTTTTCTCCCATATAAATATAGAAACTCAATTAATTTATTAAATCCAAGCGCTCCTTTAACCTTATTTAGCCAAAATTAGACAGATTAACAGATTAAAATAAACAGATCGGTTATTATTTTTAATTTACTCAGAAGAAAAAAATGTGTAAGCTTTATTTATTAATTTACTTTGCCCTTCTTTTTAGCAACTGTTTGATGTACAACAAACATGGCTCTAAATATATTCTCATGATAATACATAATAATATATTCATAACAAAACAGGCAGCATGGACTAGTTTTTGATAGCTTTAATCATGAAAAAAGCTTACATCAAAACCTCTGTGTCAAAAACCTAAAAAAAATTGTTAACCTATTGGTATAAATATTCAAATTTTAAATAGAAGAGCACTTTTACAATTAAATGTCAATTTTTTCATTACTTTTAAAATTGATGCTTAATATTTTTTCATGTTTTGCATATCCTTATTTCTCGCAAAAAAAAAAAAAAAAAGAAAAAAAAATTATAATCCCCTAAAAAATATTACTTCTGTTCTAGTATTTTTAAAATATGATTTTTCTGAAAATGTGTTCCCTCATTTGTAAATGATGTGACACAACTGAGCTACATAGAAAACAAAAAGATGAGTTATGTTCTTTAAGGATTATATCGATTCTAAAGAAACTTCAAATCATCTATTTTTTACTTATTTAGCTTTAATTTTATGTAAATATAGTTGCCAATAATTTTTACTCAAGTTCTCATATTCACTTGCAGATTTTGTGAAATGGCTAAGAAGCACGGAATGGATGTATTTAGGGTCTTTGACTCCTTAAATTATTTACCAAACTTAATTCTAGGAATGGAAGCTGCTGGAAATGCAGGTAAAACAATATATAAATCAGTTGCATTTATTAAAAATAATTACTGCTTCTTATTTATTAAAAAAGATAACTCATCTATTATATGATTAAATTCATTAAACAAAAATTTTTATTTTGAATTTATTTAAATAGAGACTTTATAAAAAAAGGAAAGTAAAAACTAAAATTGACTTCAAGATAATTTTAAACATTGTAATACTTTAAACTTGTTTTTTAAATGTGATGTAAAAAATAATCTTCTAAAAATTTAAGTTGGAAGGTTATACGATGATGCTTGGATAGAAATGGAATTAATTCCTATACAGTGTAAACCTGAAACAGATAAAAAAGCTCCTTACATTTTGTTCTTTGCTTTATGCTTTCAATTCAGCTTTTAAATTTTTATCCAAAATAAGTTAAAAGATGTTTTAAAAAAGGAGTCTCAACAATTTTCTTCCATTTGTTTGCTTTTAAAAAATAAAATGAAAACTTAGAGGAAAAATAATCTGCAGTGCACTCTGGAGAGTTTCTGTTTCCGGGAGGTATATGTAGAAAGAAAAGTCATTGACTAAAAAATATGTTAACTATATTTATACATAAAAACAATTTTTGTTTGGATGCAAAAATTAAAATGAGACAAAACTCTTATTTATAACTAAAGTTATCATTGATTGCATTATATGGAACGCTTAGCAGAATGAGAAGACTATAATTTTAATGGCTATATTATAAACAAAGATGTGTTAGCACATTTGTTTGTCAATCATAAATTTTATTCTTTATTTTAGGGGGAGTGGTTGAAGCTGCAATTTCCTACACGGGTGATGTATCAAATCCAAAACGCACAAAATATGACTTGAATTATTATTTAAAACTGTCTGATGAATTAGTGAAGGCAGGAACCCATATTCTTTGCATAAAGGTAAATTATATTTCCTTTTTAATTTTTAAATATAGTAGACAATTTTATTTATTACAGTTAATAAAAGTGTAAAAAGAAATACTTATTGTTTTATCTGATAATTGAATTTTTCATAAAAATATCAAAGAAAGAGTACCAAGTGTAACATAAAAAATCTATACACATTTTGAAGGACTGAATTCAAACATGCTATTAATTTGGAAGCCTCTTGAAGGGTTCCTAAGCTATTAACAAAAATGTTTTATTCCATATAACCAAAAAGTCAGCCAAGAATTAAATTTCAGTAGGTTATTTCCTCCTTTTATGCAATTTCCATTTGTTCTCTGATTTAATTCAGGAAACTGGAAGTGTGCAGAAAGGGTGTCTAATTAATGAGAATTTCCTCTATAATTTTTCCGTCTGCCAGTTAAAACTTAAAAATTTCAAAATTGATTTTTTTTCAAATAAAAAAACATATTAAATTAAACACATTGTAAATTTTCAAAGTAAGAACCATTGTAAAAATGCAAAATAATTTCAAATTAATGTTGCAAATTATGTTGCTCGCCATTCTTGAACCGTTGATCTCTTGTACAAAAGATTATATAAATATGTAACTTTTAATAAAAATCTGTCAAAAAAGAAATTATTTTTGGATGTGTGAATAAAGAAATCAATATTGCATACAATCTTTTGAAGATTGTGGTTGGAATTTTTACTTATAAATTATTTAAATTTTTAAATTTTAATTATAAGCTGGAATTTTACATTAAAATTTTTATTATCTTTGTTTCCAAATATTACTTGAACATCTAATTGAAGGATGCATTGAAACTTTACAATTGTTAAGGTGATCAACAGGTAAAAACGCAATTGAAAACAGATTTTTATAATAATCAAGAGAATTTAAATGCTTATAAATTTAGACAAGGCCATTTCCTAAATTTCTCTTAAAATTCCTTTGAATAAAAAAAAATTTAAATTGAACTGGAACAAAAATACAAATATGAAAATTTAGATATTGTGACTTAATATATCTACATAAAAGAGTTTCCTTTTAACCATACTGCATAACCAAAATTCACTTGTATCTAAAATAAAAAATTGTTGTAAAGAGATTAAAATTTCATCTTTAGGGCCTTGAAAAAGGCTTCTAATGTTTAGAATTTTATACTCATGCCATTAAATTCTATTTCAACTGAATTATAATGCGAATCTAAATGATAAAAATTAACTTTGAATTTTATTGTTTGTATATCTACCACCTCTACGATATAACATATCAATTTTGGTGATTGAATTTTAAGTGTTGTTGGTGAGAACAAAAAAAATTAACAGATCAAAAGATCACCCACATGCAAGAATCTCGACATTTACCATTGTTGAACTGAAAGATTAATTTTACAAACACTTTTAAATATTTCATTTTCAATGTATCTTGAATTTAAAATGATCTCATTTTTTTTAAATTTAAGAAATCTTATTCTAAATTCGCAATGTTTTGCTTAAAGAATCTATCTATATATATGTTTGTGTATTTAAGGATATGGCTGGACTTCTTAAGCCACAAGCAGCAAAAATTCTAATAACTGCTTTGAGAGATAGACATCCTGATATACCTATTCATATCCACACACACGACACAGCTGGTGCTGGTGTTGCCTGTATTTTGGCTTGTGCAGAAGCTTCTGCTGATATTGTTGATGTTGCCGTTGACTCTATGTCTGGCTTAACATCACAACCTAGTATGGGAGCTGTAGTAGCCTGTCTTGAAGACACTGCGCATGACACTGGTAAAGTACTTACAATTTACTCTCATCTTATATATCCATCATTTTTAAAAATTCTAGTTAAAAATATTGTAGTGAGCAGGGTTGGAGTTTTTGCCGGCCAAAAGGGGTTTTTGCCAGAAGAGTGGCAAAAACTGGTAAAAACCGGCTAAATCCAAATTATTTAAATTGCTGATTAAATATTATTACAAAATACTTGAAACAAATTTAAATCAATCATAAGGAATAATAATTTTGATACATTACATAAAAAAATTATTTTTAACATATTAATAATAAATATAAAGGCAATAATTTTTAAAACATTGAAAGTTTTTGACCTCTTTTCATTTTAGAACCCTTAAATAAATGTTTTTTTACAAATAAATAAATATTATTATTTGTATAATATTATTATTATTATATTATAAAAAATTATTATTTGTACAATAAATAACTACACATCTTGATAGATATTTTATGCTTTAAATTATAGTTACATTAATTTAAAATAAGTTCATTTCACTGGAAGAAAGAGAATAATCGCAAATTTTCCAATCAATAATGTTTTAAACTACTAAAATGATATATTATTACATTATGATTTAATTATGGAATAATAATTTTGTTAATTTTTTTGTAATTATTTATATTTATAGTATATATTTCAATTTTAGGAATAATTTTGTACCAAAAATGTGTTTTTGTCCTCTCATCTTGGAAAATAGAGGTTTTTGCCAATTTGCTTGGCAAAAACCTGTTTTTGCCAGGACGGTTTTTACCCGTATTTACCATGGTTTTTTCCACCCGCGGCAAAATCTTGCCAACCCTGGTAGTGAGTACTATAGTTGCAAACATTCAGAAGCTAATATTGCTTCAGTTTGCTCATTTAGTTTAAATGCTCACCAAGTCTAAATGTGAAATCCATTCTGAAAAAACCAGAACAATGGATATAGACGCATACATACACAAATAAAATAACAAAAGTTTGCAATAAATTGGAATACTGCAATACAACTGGCAGCGCTTATATAATAATACAAATGTAATGCAATGTAGGATGTTGTAGCCAGACTCTTTCACTGGTGTATGGTTAATATCAGTAAACCCATAGAACATCAAATCTCTGACATCATTATGGACAGGAAAAGATAGTGAAAGATCAAGGGCGGTGATGATTGACGAGAATTATTAAGCATGAAAGATGTGTAATACTTCTCATCCTTCAATGCTAGGGTGCCCACAAATACCATGATACAAACTATTGAACATATTATCATTGATATGGACTTTCAGAACCAAAGGGGTACCATAGTACTATTGTGGGCAGTATAGAGACAATCTCATAGAAATCCTTGAACCCTATGTGTCAGGGGACTGTTTGAGCTGTTAGAAGCTCTGTTATAGTTTGGGGTGTGTGCTGTGGGGTCTCTGATGTATCTAGATACAATTCTGCTAAGTGACAGATTCATAAGCTTCATATCATGCGTAGGGTCTTAGCGGTCCTACGAAGCATTTTATCAGAGTTTATCAAAATCATATTTTATTTAAAAATATTTCTATTAAGCATTTTTTTTATTTTTTATTTCAATCAGATTTTTTTTAAAAATTCTTTTTTGGTTTAACGATTAAAACTCTGATAAAAAGTATAAATAACTCTTAATATTATTCAACAACAATTACTGCAAGTGAAATTTTTAACACCTCTAATAATAAAAAGGTTATTATTTTTATTTAATTATGGTGAACCAGTGTTTTCATCATAGAAAAAAAATGGGTGAGAATTTCTCACCCTTTCTCAAAAACAGGGTGAGATTTCAAAAAGTTAAGTGAGATTTCTAAAAAATAAAAAAACACAGAAACTCTTGAAAAAAAAAATTTCTTTAATTATAATACATTTTTAACGTCTTCTATTTCTTAAAGCATTGAATATTTTTGGTGCATCGTCATAAAAGATTTTGCCTTTACAAGGTATTTGTCCATCTTACATAAGTGTATAAAAAATTTGAACGTCTTAACATGAAGAAACCTTACCTTCGGTAAACACGTGGTTGCAGGGAAATGTGTTCTGAAAGGGGTTCCGTGGTTGTGTTCCGTTGTTTGAAAAGGTTCTGAACAATACTGGTAAATAGGGAAGATAGATAACGGGCGCAGATGTTGAAAATAATGAAAGATCCAGGAAGAAAAGTGAAACGGATCTTATTCTAAATGGCATAATTCGAAGCTTTTTCCAAAATGCGAGAAATTCGCGAATTTTGAAATTGATTTGTAGAATGCGCGAATTTCTCGCAGTAATAATTTTTTAATGCGAGAAAAGAAAAAAATATGCGAGATTCCGCGTTCTTGCGCTGTAGTGAAAACACTGTGAACCAATTACTGAAAAAATGAAGTTAGTTACTTTTTTCTATCAAACTCAAAACCTTAATGAATTGTAAAGGCAGAAAAATCAATTTGTCAAATGAAAAGTATAATGAATTTAGACCAGAAAGCATTTTTAAATTAAATTATTCGTGGCAGAACAATTCTTTATTCTTTAATTACAAGTATATACATTAACATTAATTACATTACATTAACAAGTATATACATTAACATTAATTACATTACATTAACAAGTGTATACATTAACATTAGTATATTTAAAGTTACTTGTATTAAAATAAATATGTATAAAATTAAATGGGTACAGTTGAAATATATTTACTGATAGTGAAATAGCAAATTATTTTACATACTACAATGAGCACATTAAACTATGAAAGTGAGATGAAAAGAGCAATGAAATATTATTATTTGAAAGTTACATTCTTAACTACATTAAGTTCTTGAACAGAAAAAAAAAGTCTTATTTTATTTATTAATGTATAATCCATTTCTCATTAAAAGACTGAAACATTTATTGTCAATGAGATTTGATATCAGTAATTTATTATCACAGTCATGAGTATATACATAATGCAGTAGGGTATAAATAATATTTACCATATAAATCTAAGATTTTTTGAAAATCATAAGGAATCATATAAATCAATGATTTTCTTTTTAGTTAAAAAGTTTTTTAATCGTGCTATTCCTGCTTTTTATTTTTCTTGACGTTATCTGCAGCAGTTCTAAGGGATTACACTCCACAAACTCACAAATTGGCAATAATTAAAGTTTTTTTTCTGTGACATCAAAGTTGAATTCCTGTTATTATCTTAGAAATTTCCCTCCTGATATAAAGGGTCATTAACTACAATGAAAATAGACAGATTTGGAGTTATAAATTAAAATAATTCATATGAATTAATAAATATATCCTAGGTATAGGAAAAATACATTCAAGATTTGGCAAATGTGAGGAAAAAAATATAAAATTGCTTACAAATATGGGTAAATTAATTATAATGCAATTTTTCTAGCTTTTTGAGCAGCAAAAGTCTATGTTAAAACTGAAAAATCTAAAGTTATTCTCAATGGTGCCAAAGATGAAAAGTGGGCATTAGTCATCATTTATCTCAAATGTATTACTATCAGTTCCAGTTTTGAAAATGAACGTTCTGCAGTAGTAATGGTTACAGGAAAAGTAAGAAAAATTCTTAAAGTTATCACAAAATTTGGCATAGCATTAGTAAAATTGTTTTTGTACTCTAAGGTTGTTTTACTATAGTATTCACTGTCCTTCTTGAACTAGAAACCTTGATTCATTGACAATAACTAAATAGCAAGGTGAGTGAAGATGACAATCGTAATGTCTTCTTCACAACCCCCAGTGAAAAGATCTATAAACATGCTTACACATGCCGCAATAACTGGCTAAAAGATAAATAACCTTTCCTACTGGAAAAGAGATAGAACTAAAAGTGTAATTTATAAAGAGCTTAAGAAATTTTCTCAACGGGGCAAGAAAGTGAAGAGAGAGGAAAAAAAACTTTCTACATTATATTAACAAGTTTTGAATTTTTGGCGCCCCTAATTTTTAGTGGCTCTGGACAGTTGTCCAGCTCACCCACCCCTAAGCACGACCCTGATCTTATCAAGTCATCCACACCCATTCATGGCTATTGTGCATTCTGATGAACATAGACATTTTCTAGAGGAAAATGTGGGATACTTTGCAACCTGCTGATCAGGAAAGATCGCCCCACCTGTACTCGTATAGATTTGTGGAATTGCCCTACAGCTTTTAACATTGACCAAGCGAAAATTCCTTTTTGCCTGCAATATGCCAATCCTGATCATGAAAAATCACTGTAACAATCGAACCACCAATCTTAATTTAGTATACTTTGTTGTTAAACAGATTATTGAGGGGGAGAAACTAAATATTTTTATCTAAACAAGCAAAATTCCCTTGTGTTTACCAGTATTTGTCAAAGGAAATATTAGTTAGTTATTCAATCTCTTTATAAAATTGAGAAATTGGTATTATTAAAATAAATAATGTATTGAATAAATTCTGAATTATATTATAAATTAAACCTTTGTTTTAATATTTCTTTGTAAGAACAAAAGTATTCATTATGTTAATACGATATATGCCCTTTTTTTAATGTATATTAGTGCCTTATCTATCTATCAATTAATAAAATATATAAATATTAATGAAAATAAATATCCTACAATAATAAAATCTTAATATGTAATACTTTTAAAAATTATCTTTATAGAAATTAAATTGAGCAAGATAAGTGAATACTCTGCTTTCTGGGAACAAACACGCACACTTTACGCCCCATTTGAATGTACTGCAACCATGAAAAGTGGAAATGCTGATGTTTATGAAAATGAAATACCTGGTGGTCAGTATACTAATTTGCAGTTTCAAGCCTTCAGCTTAGGGCTTGGTGAACATTTTGAAAAGATTAAAAAAGCTTATGCTGAAGCCAATAAACTCTTGGGTGACCTTATAAAAGTAAGTTAGCAAAAAATCATTTTAAATTTAATGTCGAACTCCTGAATTTAGATTTTCTTTCTAAAAATTCATTCTAAAATGCATCTAAATCTTTCATATTTTTGCAATAATTTCCATTTAAAATCTACTTTGAATTGTATTTTACTATAAATTGTTATTTTCAAACTGTATTCTAGTTTAGGGTTTTCTGTTGAAACAGAACAGCAGTAATGGATATAAAATATTTATTATTTCTATTAATAGAAAAAGAGCTCAAATATTTTTAAGCCATATTAAAGTAAATTTAGTGTACTTGTACTTAGTTTATTTTAATAATATATGGCAGTTTTGTGAGCTTAGCAACTGTCACACCTAAATTTTTATAAAGATCTTTTTTTTTTTTTTTTTTTTTTTTTTTTTTTTNCATTAGTTTTTTTTTTTTTTTTTTACTTTTTGGCTTCTGAAACTGAAAGAGTTTTATTAATGAATAAAAAATATTTTTATGACTAAAACCAGGATGGTTCAGGTTAGAACACTCTTCAGCCAATGAAGTGATATAAATAAGAATCCCAGCTTAAGGCTGGTCAGTTCAAAATTACAAGACTGGAGAGTCAATTTAATCTGAATCAATTGCATAAGTCATAATAAAGTTGAACATTGACAAAATTTGGAGTATTACTAAAAATAAAAACGTTCATGTTTAGTAAGGAGGAAAAAAGTTAATGAAAAAATGAAATTTGTTTGTAAATTAACTTAATATGTAATTTAGTTGCAAAATTCATTTGTATATATATTGTGTAATGATATTTAACATGCTAGCGGAAAATAGCCTCCGAAAAGGGTTTTCGTTTGTAATAATACGGGTAGTCCTCTTACGATCAAATTTTTGGAAGCAAAGTACAAATCTAATAGGTTTTATTAAAATAACTTAGTTAAAAAATATATTATTTTGAGTTTTATTAAAATAATTTATACTTTTAGTTTAATTTAGTAATGACCAATTTATATTTTTTACTAAATGAAATGTGACTTTTTTTGGAATGATGTAAATATAAAATTATGATATCTATGAGTGAAAGGGATTGGGAAGCATCAATTTCTGATTATACAAGAGAATAAACAATCTCGACCAAAAGAAAATCTATAAAGAAATAGTTATTTGAAATATGTGTAGAAACTATGTACAGAAAGGACTTCTAAAAGGTTAGGAAGCATTAATTTGTGATACATTAATTGTTGGCTTTGTAACTTTACATAAATGTTTAACTATTCTTTAATTATCCTTATATTCACTTTACAGGTCACTCCTACCTCCAAAGTAGTTGGAGATTTAGCACAATTTATGGTACAAAATAAGCTCTCTGCTCAAGAAATAGAAGAAAGGGCTGAAGATCTCAGCTTCCCAAGTTCTGTCATTGAATTTATGCAAGGTTATATTGGAACACCACATGGTGGATTTAAAGAGCCTCTCAGATCCAAAGTAAGATAACTTCTTTATTAAAGTCTCATTCTTAAACAAATAGTGTTCTTAGTTCTTAAATTAAATTTTAAGTGTAATTTATTAAAAATGCTAATTAAAAATCTAAATGTTTATAATTATTTTACGGACATTAATTTTATTTCTACCAAATCTTATTGTGTGAGTTAAACTTAAACTTTGTTTTACATCTAATTACAAAACCAAGTATTTCATAGGAAATTACAGTGGAATCTAAAGAGAATAAAAAAAATTAAGGAGAATTAAAAAATAAATAAAGGTTCTGCCCCCCCTCCCCTAAAAAAAAATAAAAGAAGACAAGGTTCACAAGGTGTTGTTTATTTTCTCTAACTTTTTATTAGTGTTGGTGTGGTGGTCGGAATGTGCTAATGAGTAAGATTCTGAACCTAGTAGCTAATTAAAAAGCCTATACACAATAATCACTTTAAGTGCGGTTTTCACACACATGTTTTGCATCATAATATATCAGCTCTGCTTTCATGGGTTCTTAAGAGCACACCTAACTGCAGGAGAAACTTTTCATAGCAAATTCTGTTTCACCTCTATTGTTATTTTCAAATTTAATGTTTAGTTTCAAATGCTGAAAAAATGTTTTCAAAACATCAAAATGCAAACAAATTATTGCAAGATTACTTCACCTAAGTGTAATCTTGTATTAATTAGTTAACATTTTAATATTTTGAAAACATTATTTCAGCATTAAACATATTATTATATTTAAGGGTTTTTACCTGAGTATAGCCTCTTAATATAGCTTGGGTATAGCCGGGTTACCCGAGGGTAACCTCTTAAGCTGTTGCAAGTTGATAATCATAGATCAAAATCATAGACGTAACGTCGAGGAGGGGAACACCTGCTGACTCAAACATTTTTCAAAACTTCAATTTTTAAATTTATTACTCTTGTTAAAAACATTAAAATATCTATTTTAAATTTAATAAAAATTCAATTACTTTAGCTAGCTTATTAATAATTTAACGAAATAATTCTATATTTAGCACTTTTATGTAAGTGGATCTTAAAAACCATTTAATAGTTTTTTTAAAAAATAATTTTGATTGTTACTTAATGATTTAAGAGTTAGTTTATAATTATGATTGCTTGTTATTTAGTTTAATTTATGCTCATTATAATTTTCTAAATTACAACTATTTATTTTTGTAACTGTCAAACGTTTTATTATTGTTTTAACTTATTTTTGTCTTATGACATTAAACAACTTCCAACTTGTTTGCAACTCTAAATTTATATTCTTCTTTTTACCAAGTATAAGTTTGTAGGTATAATTTGATAGAATACTTATGTTTAATATTCTTATAATTTTTGACCAATAAGTTCCATTTCATATGAAATATCCTTTTTACTCTGATGAATTACAAATATAGCATAAAATTTTTTAGAATGTTTCTATAGAATATGTTCTGAATTATTTTATTGGATTATCAAATAATTTTTGAGAACCTAACATGGGACTTGGGAGAACAGATTGCACTGTAATGCATAAAAATATAAAAAATGGCACTTTATTCCACTTCTCAAACTGCTATTTTTTATTTAATTAATTCTCATATTCATTGTTAAATTGCAGGACTAAATCTGTAAGCACTTTTTTACGTTTTTGGGCTCTGTGAGTAAATTCATCATGTCACTAATTACAAGTTTAGACAAATTTAATTGTACTATTCTATTAAAAATACATTTGTGGTTATTAGATTTTACACCATTTTTCAATTACTATTCCTATAAGAGTAATTTCCTAATATTTATTTGAAAGTGAATATTAAAAAAAATCTAGGAATAAAAAGTTTTAAAAATACACTTAGAAGCAGAGAAAAGTCGAATTTTTATATTATCATCCCATAAAATAAGATTGTGCATCAATCTTACACTTGACAGAAAGTGATTAAATAAGAAATTTAATTTTGCCATTGCTTTTTTTATATTTATTATTTTTTTTCTTTTAAGAAAATGAAAAATTAAAATTCAGACTCTCCGTAGATTTGCAGTATGCCTGGAATACAGAAACCATCCTGTTTTACGAAAGTTTTCAATTTTTGCTAATATAGTAGTTATTAACATCTCTGATAAATACAGAAAATTACTCTTAAATTTAAAGACATATATGAAGTTTTCTCTGTGTATTTCTTTTAGAGCTTTAATATATTTATTCAAAAAGATAAATTTAAAAAAATTCAAGAAAAAAAAAGAAGAAAAAAACTGTGTGCTCTCTCAAAAATTTCTTTCATGTTTATGATCAAAATTATGGATATCTTTGCAATCTAAATGTAGTTTTTACAAGCATTGATCTAAGCTATTACTATCTCTTCTTCTTTTTCCTGGAATGCTATCGTGTGCCTTAGGAGCTGCTAAAAAATTAGTCATGTGTACTGTTTCTTGTTAAATTTATGATTTTAGCTTTACATTCTTCAACTTACACATGTCAATGGTATTGAAAATCAATCATTAGAATGTGGTGTATTAAAAGTACATTTTTTTATTTTCTTAGATATTTTTAATGTGTGTGTCTCTTTGCTATACACTGCTTATTTAAAACTATTTTTATCCTTTGCTTAGAGGGTCATTCCACAGTATCAGTTAATTATTTTGGAATAATCTACTAGCTGAATTAGTTAAGTTATTCATTAAAATTTATTGAAGCAGTCTTACATGTTTTCAATGTGAAAAAAGCTAAAAACATTTCAAACTTGTCTACAAAATATTCCACATATAATACAAATGCTGTCTAAAGGCATCTTAACTGGATTGTTAAACACAAAATAATAATTAAATTATACAATTCAGCTCCTTGTAAGTCCATTGTACAAATCAGATTTTATAATATCTACTTTGCGTGATAATCAGCACCTTTTTTTTAAATTTGAAATTCATAATACGATTTTTTAACTGAGTTATTTAGCAAATTTTAAGTTTTTAAATTATTTCTGAAGCATTACTATACATTTTGTATTTTAGATCTTGAAAGGTATGACTAGAATTGAAGGAAGGCCTGGAGAAATTTTGCCTCCATTGGAGTTTGATAAATTGAAAGCTGAACTGGAAGATAAGCATGGCATGGCTGTAAGTGAATTAGATGTGATGAGTTCTGCCATGTATCCAAAAGTTTGTGATGACTACATCGCTTTTAGAAATACCTATGGGCCTGTTGATTGTCTGAGCACACGTATCTTTTTAGTTGGACCAAAAGTAGCTGAAGAATTTGAAGTGAGTGAACTTTAATTTTCTTTAAAAAATGTAAATATTCTACAAATATGTTCAAGTTGTGTTTTCAACAACAAAAATTTTGATTTTGAGGTTAAAATTCTTTTTAGTTTTGATGTAAAATTTTTGTTGTATTTTATGACATTTTTCTGAATTTTAAAATAAAAACAGAAGTTGAATTTATTTAATCAAGGTCTAACTATTATTTCCAGAAATTCTTACAAAATTCAAAGATATTAGATATAAATTAATTGATGTTATTTCTAGAAACACTTTTTATTCCAGAACTAAAATTTTGCGAATAAGAAAATAAAATTTAAATACCACATTTATGTTTATTTTATGTTAATATATGTTATTTCCCTTATTACGATTTCAATTACTTTCCTTTTGCAGGTTAATATTGAGAAAGGTAAAACATTGCATATTAAAACTCTCGCTGTCTCTGAGAAAAAAAATAGTGCTGGTGAAAAAGAAGTTTTCTTTGAACTAAATGGTCAGCTGAGATCTGTCCTTATTAGAGATAAATCAGTTAAAGATGTAAGTAATCCATTTTTAAATGTGACGTTTTTCAAGCTTAATTTTTTCAACTGAAAGTAATTTAGTTTTCATCAATATTTTTTAGAATTCAAATTTAACCACCAAAGCTACAAGAGTTGTTCTGAAGTTCTTGTATTTTTGCTTTACTCTATTTTTGGGATATAGAGTTATAAATGCTTTGTTAAACTGTTAAAATAAATCAATTATTTTATTTATTTCATTTTATTGGTTATTACTTTTCTAAATTATGGTTATGAAAAAATAGGCTTTGTTGCCGAATTCTTTTTATACAATTCTAACATTTAAAGAATCTTGTTGCTCAGTCAGAAAGAAAAAAAAGTTGATTAAGTTAATTTTTTTTCTTCCTAAAATGATTTTTTTGTTTTTAAAACAGGATTGTTTTAGGGGTAAAAGACTGATAAATATTAATAAAAATATTTTAGAAAATAGTTGAAATGATGTTATTCCATTCAATAAATCTCACATTGATGAATTTATACTTTTATTAAGACTATACTTTAAACTGTTTTTTAAGGCCAAGAAAAATATATGCCTTTTTAATACTCTATAAATAAAAAATCTTACTACTGCTCCCTATTTTAATAAGAGTATTTGTTTACTTTTAGAAAGTATAGAGTTCATTTAAAGTTTCCATCTTGGTTTCAACTATTAAATCAGAAATCAATCTTGAACTAAAAATTGAAAATATGTTTTTTTACAGACATTTGATGTGGAAAAATTTGGTCCATTGTGGTCATTAACTCCATAGTAATGTTATTTTTCACAGAAGTTGCTGGTAAAGGGCAGTACACAATGCCCATTAAAAGTAGCCAGTAAAATACAGTTGTAATGAAATTTGCCTCATCATTCAATTATTTGCTTCACAAGCTGACATTTTTCTGCAATAGCTAGCAAATTCATAAGACTTGTCATGTCATTTTTTATGGGAATTACAAGTAAAAATTACTATTACGCCATGTTGGGAAGACAATAGAATAGCAAAAATTTAATTAATGTCTCGCCACATACCTGTAAAATTTTCTGGATAGTACAAGTTTTTTTCTGCGATTTTCAACATGTACTATTTTTTAGTAAAACATTTCGAAACCATAGAGAAACTTATGAAAAGACCTGTATCTAGAGTTAAGTGAAATGTTTCTCCTATGATCGTTAGAATCATGTAACAGCTTTGATCTTTTTTAAATTACCTTTTGGTAAATAATTTAATTTGTTTTAACAGGAAATACATATTCGACCTAAAGCTGAAAAGGGAAAGAAGGGTTCTGTTGGTGCGCCAATGCCTGGCACTGTTATTGATGTTAAAATTGAAGAAGGTAAAAGAGTTGAGAAAGGAGATGCCATGATTATTTTAAGTGCCATGAAAATGGAAATGGTTGTTCAAGCTCCAATATCTGGTATGGTTAAAAAAGTTCATGCAGCTAACGAGATGAAAGTGGAAGGAAACGACCTTTTGGTGGAGATAGAATAGTGACTAATAGAATAGAGGCAAATTTCAGATATCTCCAATGGCTTGGTATAGCTGTGGTCTAAGGTGGGTCACATATCGTTTGCCAAATATTTTGCCAAACAAATCACTTTTTGTTTTCTTTACAGTGTTTTTATATCTTCGCATTTTTTTCACTAATCTTCTTTTTTTTTTTAATTCCTAAATTTGTTTTATATATATATTTACAAAATAAGTCAAGAATCTGGATGATAAATCCAAGAATCAGTTAAGGAACAGAATGCATTTTGGTAAAGTTTGATGAATTAATGCATTTTGTTTTTAATTTCAATCATCTAATATATTGCAACGATAATTCAAACTTCTTTATTTCCTTGATGCGTGAATTAAGTCCTATTGTGAACGTATTACATTTTATGTTTTTATCGAAAAAATATCTTTATTTCTCAGTTTTTTTTAATATATATATCAGGGTTTAAGCTGAGTCTAAAAATTCATTAGCAAAAAAGCAAAAATCTGAAAAAAAGTTTTAGCAAAATGCTAAAATGCCATTAGGCTTATAAAATTACTTTATATCAAACAAGTACTGTAAGTTATCTGACAAAGAATAGCTTAATGTACAAGAATATCAAAAAGAATACCTATAACAAAAAAAAACACATTTATTATTTATCAAAACATTTTGGTTTATAATTAACAATCTTCCTTTCTTTCATGTTTGCCCATTTTACAAATGCTTCTTGAAAGTTAAATGCACTTTCAGGGCCCTCAATATTAATCATTAACAAATTGTTTACATGGTTGATTAGCAGCAACCTGTTTCGAATATTAGTTTTAATCAAATTAAGGCAGCTAAAGCCCCTTTCACAGTCAACAGTGTGCATTGGTATTGTTGCACAATACTCTATAACAGAAGTTATTAGTGGGTACTGTTCAGACACATCATTGGTATATAAAAATAAAAGTAATTCATTAAATGACATGTTTTTACATCGTTGCATTAAGATGTGTTTAAATAATCCCCATTTTTTTTAACGGAATTTAGTAAAATCCTTTAGCAAAAATGCGAAAATGCTTTGTTGAATTTTAGCATTTTTGATGGGTCTTTTCGCATTTTGCGAAAAAAGCTACCGTAGCGGAAACCCTGATATATATGTATATTTGCCACAGTTGCAGTGCAAGTTTAATTTTATCATTCTAATTATAATATTAAAACAATGTTTATTTGCGCTAAATATAATTAATCTGTTTTGTGTATAATGCTTTTAAAGTTGCATTTAGTACTAATGCATTTCTTTAAACTTATTGATTTAATTTCAATACTAGATTTATTTTTGTTTCTTGTTCTTTTTTACACCACAGAAAAGTTTAGCATTTGAATATTACATTAAAATTATGAACATCTTATTTGAAATGTGCTGTTTTAGTGCCTAATAACAAATGCTTCCAGATAATTCCGTCTTGTTGCATTACTTCCAAAACAAATGAATTTATAATTTGACTTCAATGTTCAAAATTATTTTCTTGTACATGTTACTATTCCAATATAATAGTGTTAAAGTGTATGTGAAAAAGCTCATAGATATTCATTTAAATATTTAATTGAATTGAAGTGATAGCAAATGTTATTTTTATAAAAAAGTGTTATACATGAATTCGTTTTTGAACTTAGTATATACATGATGTAATATGTTATTTTATTCTTTTGAATCATTATTGGTTCAAAAGAATATCATTATTGAATCTATATATCATTATTGAATTGTATATATAGAAAGTATTAAGGATATTATTTTAGAACAAATTGTTTGAAAGTTATTATATAGTTTCTAATAAATATTTTGTTAGCATTGTGTATGTTTTTAATTTTGACATTCTTTTAATGAATTTTTGTGTTTTATTTAATAGTTCTGGTTTATTTCTTACTCTAAAAATGTTGCAAATCTATTTTTAAAATAAAATGGAATTTTTTTTTCTATTAAGGCTTAGTAAAATATATTGCATTGTTGGTGTTTACTTTTTTTGTTCATTAAAATTGATGAAATCAACTTATTGCTAACTTTACTGTTAAATTGTCATTGAAAACAACTAATTTAGGATTAAATTAGTGATCTGATTATTCAGTTCTATTAGTTTATAACCATAAAAAATCATAAATTATTTATTTTGAAAAAGATAATTTGAAGAGAATGTAGAAATATTTAAATGTGGCTAAATTACATGAAACTTGACTTATTCACACATAGCGTAAAATTTCGCTCATATTTTTTTCGCCGATAGCCGATTTTTAACCTGTTTTTACATATGAAATCAAGGCTGATTGTGCTCCGGAAAAAATCCGGATTTCCGGAATTTTCGCTTACAGTGATCCGGAAGTTTCCGGAGATCGAGGGTCCAGACATTTAAAAAAATCATTGATCACAGAAGTTTCCGGAAATCAAATTTTCAAAGGTGGAACTTAAAAACACAATTTATTTTATTTGTTTGTAAGGGAGAACCAGAGAGATACTTTAAAAGCTTATATTCATGATTAATATTCATTTTTTATCAGTAAATAGTTGTTATAATCATAANTTTTTTTTTTTTTTTTTTTTTTTTTTTTTTTTTTTTTAACCCAAGAAATTTTCTGGAATTTTGACTTGGTCTCATAATCACTTCTGTGAAATAATATGTTTCATTCAAAGTCATCTGAAAATTTATTCGTAATTTAGCAAAGAGATTTGAGTAAATAATTATATTCAATGAATGTTTGTTTTTAAAGAAGAATGTTTCTGATAGAATGAGGTTATTACATTTGCTTCTTTTTAATTTTATTTTTAATAGGTTCATTGAATGATTGATACAATTTCAATATTGTACGTACATATGTATTGATTTGAAATTTATCAATTCATCAGTTTTTTTATGTTTGTTAATTTCTTCAATATATATTTTATAATTTTGAAGCAATTACTATTTAAAGGATAAAAGTTTTATGAAAGGTATCATTATATCGTTACCTTGAATAAAATTGTAATATCAATGATGATTATGTGAAATCTTGTTTCGATATTCCATGTCACTACAAAAAGGATAGAGTTGCCATATATGTGCTAACATTTTTAAACATCTTAGAATTTCTCAATATGTTATACAATATGTCTTAACTTTAAAATATTGAAATTACCTGGCCATGCGTGTTTCCCAGGTCTATTTTACCTATATAATTATATTTAATTATATTTTTTCATTTTTCAAAATTTTACTCTTCACGCTACTACGTAGATTATTTTTTTCTATAATATAATATACTCTATTTTTTTAGTAATTTTATTTACGTTTTCCTTTTAATTAAATGCTCACTTTTAAATTACTATCAAGTTCTTGAAAGAAAGCTTAGAATTGTTAATTAAACTTAATAAGAAATTAAAAAGCATTATTCTGCTTAAAATCACTCTATGCAAAACAGCTGACTATTTACTTAGCATGCTATCTTTTCAAAAAATGATAACTTATTGATTTCTTTTTTGTTACTTGTTTATTCATGCAATAAAAAGTAAATGCATATATGTGCAACTCAAAAATTCAACCGGCTGCGTTCTTTTTTTAGTGGGCGAGAATACTGGAATTACTTTTTTATTTTGACATTCAAACTTATTCTCTCCCACTAAATTTAAAAAAGTTGCCCTTTTAAAAAAGATAATGATAAAAAAAATTAGCTTAAATAAGTTTTTAATATTATTTCTTAATTTTAGTACAATTTATGAAATATTGTTAAATCAGAAAAATGATCTATGTGCCTTATTTTGTTAAATAACTAATACTAAAAATAGAAAATTGTAAAAAGACTCCAAAGCCCTACTGTTTTTAGAATCATCACCTCAAAAAATTGTTCTTTTTCTAACTGGATTTTTTTAATACTAAAATGGGGTATATAAAGACATTTTTGGACTACAACAAGAGCTGTTTTTGTATGTTCAGCAAATAGTCTTAGCATATTTTTTATCTTTTCAGAAATTATTAATAGAAATGTTTCTTATATTTTGCCTTAAAGAGACAGGAATATAATTATTTCATTTATGCTCAATTGGACGGCGTTAATGGTTTGATTTATCCCAGAATTGAAATCTGTTTGCACAAAACATTATATTGGTTGAAGCAATTAAACTATTATTTATTTAAATTGATTCCTTTATTTTGTTGACAGTGGCAGAAAGGGTGAGGAAAAGCTGGAAAAAAGCCTTGTTTGCCATCATGTGTACTATTTATGCATTAAATTATTTAAACTTTAGTAATGGTAAGGAAAAAAGAAAATAAATAAAGGGTGCAAAAAAAAAATCAACTGTATCGAAATATCTTTGAATTATACCCTAATATATATGCATGTTATGTCTATAAATAAAACATACATTTTTAGAAAAGTTTGAGTGAAAAGGAGACGTTAATTTGTTCTTAATAATTATCCTTGTAACTATTTAACTAAGATTTCTGGGGAAGGGGTCATTCTATTGTCTCATTCAACTCTTAAAATTTCAATTATAGACTAAATTGTTTGGCATCCTTAAAAAATTGTTTTTAAGATTAGAAGTAAAAAAAAAATTATTGCATTCATTTTTTAGATAGTTATGACCAATCTTACATTATTTTTTCTCAATCTGATACTTATAACCATTATCGTACGTATAACTTATTTCAATATCATGTTCGGTATTTTAATTTAATATACTGTCTTATTGGTGCTCAAAAATGTACGACACGAAGTCATTCATATTTGACAAGCCTTCAGAATGAATGCTTATTTTTAAGCACTCGAAACATAAACTTTTATTTCCATCTTAGTTGCAAATGTTTCATGCGCTCAAAAATAGGGACCCGTTTTCAAGTTTCGCCAGATGTTAATGAGAAAAAGTAAAAAAAAAATGAAAACGTGGTAGCCGAGATTAAAACAAAATGAATACGTTGGCAGTGCAACCCCTGCTACATCAGACAAAACAGACGTGCTTTAAAATATCGACTAAAGGAACATGGTAGATAAACCCGCTATCAAAAATGTGACAAATCTTCTATTGCAGCACATTCTTGGAATCTTTGGCATAAATTCAATTTCAATAATGTTAATATTCTTATCACCCCAGTCACATTAGCTCATTTTGATGCCCGGAAATCTTGTTTCACAGATTCCCTTGTAACGACATGAGTTCCTCACACACTCTAGATAGTACGTGGAAATACATTTTGCCCTGATTTGCCTCTCTCGGCCATTGTGGTTTATTTAGGTTTGTTTTTTACCTATATTTTTTATTTCGTACTACCGTTTTTTCTTTTTTTTTCCTCACTTTTATTTTTCCTTTCTCTTTCACATTTTATGTTTCAAATCACTTTTCTTCATTACATTTTGAAAATGGGCGTATATTTTTGAGCGCTCTAAATATTTACAATTTTATTGACATCTTCATATTTTGTTGAAGCCAATGCAGTTTTTAGCAGCAAGTATATTGTTTTATATTTAGGTCCCAATCATTATTTTAATTGAAATCTTATGCACATAAAAACAAACACCTGTATTTTAACATAGATTTTGCGGTCCTTAATATAATAAGGAAACGGTGATATCAATATTGTAATTATGCATTTATTTTCAACTATAAAATATTAAAATTTTAAAACTTTAAGTTTTTGTTGCCACATATTTGGTGTTATTGAAATTGATCATTGAATCATGTGCTGAAAATAAAAATAACATTTATCTTCGTAGTTTTGCTGACACCATTTGAGTTTTTTTAGGACCGTAAATGCTATTTTTAAAAGGAATCTATCGTATCAGATGTATGTATATATTGATGGTGAGAATCGTAAAGTAAGTTCGTAAAAAAAGAACGTTGAGTGATAATTTATAAATTTTACAATTTTACGAAACTCCGTTCAGAATGTATAGATACAACAGGATGCTATAAGCAAATTATCTTAATCCAAAGAAAACCATGTAACTCATCTATTTGGCAGAATAAAGCAATTTTTTAAATAATGAATCGTACAATATTCTTAAACATATATATATCAATGTTTTTAAAATGCCAGTTAACATTCACTAATTTTTTTAATTATAGAAAAAGAAATATCATGAATTTTATAAAACTTCATGATGGTGCATCATAGTTATAACCTCCTCCAGAAACTCTTAAATTTTTTTCCGGAACCTTTTTTTAAAAATTTTTTATCTCGAAAACTTTTTGCCCAGAAGACCCGATTAAAGGTGTAAGAATGATGTTCCCTACATCTCTGTAGAATTTTGGAAATTTGGTTTTAAGTAGAAAATCTTCATATTTAAAAACGATGTAGAAAAGCACAAAAATGTCACATAAAAAGTTCTTGTGTTCAAGCTCTAAAATCCTCGAAAATTATTCTATAATTTATTAATCTATTCAAACTCTATTTTCAAAGGAGATAAAAACGAAAACAATCTTTGCGTTTTGGTCAAAAATCAGCGCAAAAACGATGACTTTTGCCAAGAAACTTCGAGATAACTAATCTTTTAGGAATATTTAAATTCCTCTATGTTTGAATTAGTAAATATGTATTCTTATTGCTTGCAATTGATTATTAATTTTAAAAGTAAAATAAACAAGTTTTAAAGAAATGTGCGTTTTGTTTCAATTCTAGCGCTGAGGAAAACTCTTAACGCTGAGACGCGCGCACCGCAATGAAGGTGTAAAAAAATAAGCTTTTCCGAGCTGGCTGATAACTATGAATGAAGAAGATTAACTTTTTCCCCCCTTATTTTAATTGTGTAAACTTGGTTACTAAGCAACGGAAATTTTTTTTTTTTCATTTTAAATTTTAGCGATTTGGATTCCTAAAACTACGTATTTGAGTT